AAAAATGAAAATTCAGTTATTATGAAAAAATATCTTTGTAATAATTTAAAAAAAGAATCGTTCTTGCTTAACAAAGTATCAATAATATCATATCGTCTAGAAATCTAGAACATGTTTCAATTTTTATCAATTTCTTAAATTCAAACTCAAGAATTGTATTGACACGGTTCGATGACCATGCGAAAAACAACTCCTTGATAATCTATTATAATGGAAAGAACCAGTCTTGTATCAAGATTTTTCACGAGCATTCATTTATTTCGTGTGTAGTTCAAAACCTTTCAAGTTAAAAAAAAAAACATTGTGAACAAGAAAAAAAACTACAAAATGTAATTAGTGCTACATTTATTAGTTTGACATTTAATGAATTGAAAGTAAATTCATACAAAAAAAAGTTGCATTTACGCCTGTATGTGGGATTTTTCAAGAATTTTTGAAAGTTGCATATATTTGTGAGGGGATTTTTTTTTATTTGTTTGTTTTCCTTTTTCTTCCTTAACCAATCAGTGTAATTCTCAATTAAAGAAAAAAAGAATTTTTTTAGTAATAAAACTATCGTTGTCAGCCTTGAAAGGAAGAATATATATTTTTTTCTAGGTTTATTAGTTCTTGCGCTGCTTTTATTACCGACCTCTTGTAAAGTACTATAAATTTTAAAATGTTATTAATTTAATAGATAAAATGTACAAGTGTCTCTAAAGTAATAAAATCTGTAGCAATCATTTTATTTACATGTGTTGAATTTTTTTTTCTTTTTACATAAAACAGAGAAAAAAAACAAAAAGAAAACGAGTTTTATAATTTTTATCTTCTAAATTATTGTTTATCTAGGATTATAATTATAGAATTAAAATTAAGTCTTTTCGAAAGGAATTCTACAAATGAACGAAAGTATGCCTAACTGTTTTTTTTTTCGAATAAGAAAAAGAAATTTTGAAACAGAAGTTTTATTTGGATTGTTAAATATAAATGTTTTTCTGTTTTTATTGATTTTTTGTTAAATTGAATTTGTTTCGGTAATTTGAATTTTAGAGCTACTGATTTTTTTTTCAAATTGACATTATTTGAAAGTGATTTAATAGAGAATCGAATTTAATAACAACATTGAATACCGTAACAGTAATGTGAGTGATAAATCCTTTAGTAACAGGTTTTATAGACAAAAATATTGCCGGTGCGTTTAGACATCTACGTCTCGGCGCATATTGACTTTCTCTAATTGCATAATCAAAGTAAAACGAAACCAGGAGATTGATTTTCTGTATTAAAAACTATCTATTAATTCTCCTTGTACGATTTTTTTTATTTTTAATCCTAGAAATTCTATTCTTGCAACGCGTGTATTTTTTTCTTTCATTCGTAAAAAATAGTTCAATTCCGTATAAAAATAATATTTAAAATTCTTTCCTTTCTTTAAATTTTATTTATCAGTTTATATTATTTTTTTGGTTCGTCAAATATTTTTTCCTAGCGATTTTAAAAATCAATTTCCTTACTTTTTTTACTCTTTTTTCTTCTCAAGAAAAAAGTTTTTTGAATGAAAAATATTTGAAAAATAATTTCCATAGAAACCGTAGTGATAGTTTTATCGTTATGTAGGAGAAAATTTAATTTTCCTTTTACGAAACTATTTGCGTCTTTATTAAGATTCATCTTGCCACGAGATTCTTGCTTAAAGTAACGTCAATGCGATAAGTCGATAAGCAATTTTTTAAATACGAATTAGATTAATCCTGAATGACAGTGGGAATTTCATTTTAAATATTATTATTTTATCAGTTCGATAAGTAGCTTGTTCTATTCTATAAAACGCAGAAATTGCCTTCCTTTCACAGCATCTATCGATATTTCTCTGAATTTTCTTAATTTGATTCATTCGTCTTTCAAAACTTTTTTTTGTCGAATATTTAAATTTCAACCATTTTTATTGCTTTCAAAAAATAAGAAATTGAATGAGACTGAGAATTTTTACGTTTTCAATGTCGTTTCTCAATTTTATTTTTCTTCTTTTTCAAAATTAAGTGATTTTATTTTGTCTTTGAAAATTTTTATATAGCCAAAAATCCTTTTTTCGTGTTTTGAAAAGGATAAATTTTTAATATAACTTTGATTATTTCCGGGTCAATAACTGAAGAAGTTGCAAAGAATTAATGAATTTGCGATAAAAATTATCTTGTGTTAAAAAAAATTTAAAGTCCGTATTATGACGAATATTGCGAATTTAATCTAATCTTTCTTTGTTTTTGTTTTTAATAGAATGTAATGACGAGTTCTAACAAAAATATTCTACTGTTCTCAAAGGGAATTTTAGCCTTTATTTTTTAGTGAGTCTAAAAAAAATTATTTCTACTTATAAATTATGAATTTAATGCCAGAATTTGAATAAATTCGTTTGAATAAATTAATTCAAATAAATTAATTTAATATACTAATTTTTCGAATATATTGAAATCTTAATAGTTGAGAGAATAATAAATTAATTAATTTAATATGTGAATTTTTCGAATAAATCGAAATTGTAATAGTTAAGAGATTAACAAAAAAAATTAATTTGCGAATTTTCGAATATATTGAAATCCAAATAGTTGAGAGAATAATATTTACCTTCTTTAATTAATTCATCTAACTCCTCTAAAAGTTTTGTCGCAACTTGTGCCCGAGTGGGATGGCATGGCTCCTCATATAAATTGATCTCCTCCTCCTCCTCCTCATCTTTGACGATTGAATCTCCTGCAGATTTGTCGTCATCATCAAAAGAGAGCCACTCTTCCTCAACATCCAACACCGTGGGCGACACGGGTTCTTCCTTCCAAAACCACATCTCTTGCTCCTGATTGGACGACATTGTGATAATTGTTCCAATCCAATTCAATTAAAAGTTGATTAACAGAAATTTGTGTCGTCAAAGCGACAATATTGGCGGAAATTGCCATGATGGCCCTAAAAATAAAGAAATTATTATAGTAACAATAAGGATTTATTTATCCTTCAAATAAGGATTTAACAAAAAAAAAAAAAAAGAATTCCATCGACAAATTAAAGGATATTTAAGACTTTTTTTTGGAGCAATTTGTAAAATTTATTTTCTTTATTGAATTTAAAGGAAAAAGAATAGAAAAATTAAAATATTAATTTAATTTCTTGATTCACATTTTCGCAATTCACATTAATGCAATACTGAGATATCTTTAAGTCAAAACAAACAATAATTTACAAACATTCTAAAGTTTATTGACAATACTTTGTCAGAATGTAAAGTGTTTAATGCAAATATTTTGAAACATTGTTTAAATTCTGGAAATGCAACGAAGTAGTAAATTTATGAGACATTTCTGAATTTAGTGATACAAATTTACAATTTAGTAAACAGTTCAGTTTACAATTAACTAAACGTAAAACTAAACAGACGTTAATTTAAATATTGATAGATATATTAAATATTAATTACTTTTCTTATATCAAAAAAACATTTTTCGATAATAAATTGAACATAACCTATAGATTGTTGTTTCCATACAACAGTTTAAAAACAATTGAAAATGAAATTCTATTATTGTATTTAAATACCTGAAGTTTAAACAAAAATCACTTTTAAAATTTCATGCAAGTGATGAAGAAAATGGTATATTATTTATAGAACATTTTTGAGAATGTTTTGAATGATATTAAAAATAGAAAGCACGAGTTTTTCTACTTTTAAAAAGAAAAAGAGGGTCATAAGTTTTTCAACATATGGAAAGCACCCTTAATTCCAATCAATTTTCAAACACAAACTGACTTTCACAATAAGCATATGTCCCTAAATTCAAATTCTACCAAAACTGTGATTTAATCCAAGTTTATTGCCTAAACTCGAATTAAGGAACCGATTCTCCTCATTTTTGCTTAAAATGGTATAACATGATGCAACCCTTCAATGACGTCATTCTGTAACTTAAATTATCCAAAGAAAGTTATTGTTTAAAAGGTTAAAAATGTTAGTAATGTTTAGGGCAGTTTTCACGTGACAAATGAAAGAATACATATATGTTATTGTTTATTCATTGTCATGTGTCAAATGTAGAAAATAAGAATGACACACTTCATTATAGATCGTGTGTGTGTCGCCATATTTGTGTTCTTTTATAAGCTAAAGCGAACGCTCTAAGAAAGCATGAGATATTCGTGAAAAAAGCAAAATTTGAAAATAAAAATATAATGTACTTACGACATGATTAATTGGTGTGTAGGCACACTTGCGTGTGCAAGCCGAATTTCGACTAGTATATCATCTTCACCGCTTTTTAGTCGAGAAATAATTTACACAAGTCGTTTTACAATCGTCCATAAAGAAGAGTGAAGAAGAGAAGAGGTGACGAAAATTCCCAGAAATCAAGGAAAAGTTTCACTCTGCGCGTAATGTAATAATATTGGTCTGGTTGCGCGCAGATGCCTCAGGCATCCACCAATCAAAATTGCTCTTTAGACGCGCCATCTTGGAATTTAATTTCAAATTTAATTTTTTTTCTTCTTGTGTTATTTCTTTTGTAAAAAGATTGAAAGAATAGATTTTAATTTATTTCTGATCTTTTTATTTACTGCTTCTGTGTTGACTGTGTTTTCTCCGTTCATTATTGTTAAATTTAATAATTTTTGGCGCCATTGCAATGATTGCTTAATTAGAGAGGCAAAATTCAAATCGCATATATCAAATTTGCAAAAAAACAAATAAATAAATTTCTGAGCTACGTTTGGACTCATTTTTAAATCCTCCCTCTCTTTGTTATACTTTTTGAAAAAAAAAATAAAAATTTGCAAAATGCAAAAATTTTTTCGCAGTTGACTTCCCCCCTCCCTTGGGAATGTGACGTAGTTGTGAACGACCCTTAAGTAAACAAAGTTTAAAAGGCAGGAAAAAATTGACAGAAATAAATAAAATACCCAAGATTATCATATCAAATAGAAAATGTATCCTGTTTTACAAGACTATTATTAGATAAAAGAATCAAGAAATTTCCAAATTTATACATTAAAATGTTTATTATAAATCAAAGCTTACATTTATATCCTCATCAGATAACAATACTTGCACCAGAGAGCCAAGAATACTTTAAAATTTATACACATTGTTTTCTTTACAAGTAAGTTATTAAATAATTCAGCTAAATAATACATATGTTAAAAATTTATTTATTTATTTTGCAAAATTTTCAATAAATAAAAATTTAAGTGAAACTGAAAAAATGGATGGCTCATCTTCAAAATAAATACTTTCTATAATTATAAAATGATTGACATCCTAGCGATTCTGGACAGTAGTTTCTTGCAGTTTTTTGCTTGAAACTTTTTTAATAAATCGCAATTATAATAATTATTATACAAAATTTTATAATTTAGAAAAATTACAAGCAAAATTATTTATTAATAATAATAAAAATAGTCAAAAAAAAAAAAATTAATTATAAAATTTGATAATTAGACGACAATTATTAAATTAAAAACAAAATTATAATAATTATATATAAATAATTAATATTAAAGTTTTCAATTCAAAGAGAATTGGAGATTCTCAGATATTTGTCAGTTTTCTAAAAAAAAAAGTCTCACTATGATACAAGTAACTAAATATTTTTTAAGTGAATAACAATTTCAAATTACATTTATTCACCCTGAATTAGAAATTCAATTGAATCAATTGACTCAAAAAGCTTTACATCGAACATGATCACATACTCTAAATATTGCTGTTTCGGCGTATAAAAATGGCTTTTTTCTTAATAACAGTTCTTTCTTTCTCGTTCAATGAAATATTTTTTTTAATTAATATTTTTGTTATCGTTTTTTTACAGATTTTTAAAAAATAGGCCTTCAGCTCTCAGGCGCACTTTCCAATATATTTTTTCTTTAAATGCATGATCCAGAATTATTGAGAGCATTTTTTTTAAATAATAAAACACATTTCTAGATGAAAAACATGTTTTATCAAATTTCTTTCAAAATTTTCCAATTAAGAATGCAAGCAAATGTTTCTTAACTTATTAATTAAAAATTAAGTATTTAATTAATATCAATTGATCAAATACTGAATCTATTTTTCGATCAAATATTAAATCAATATTTGATCAAATAATACTAATCAAGTAGTCAATTAATTAATAAGTAATCAATATTATAAATTTATAATAAAGTAATATTAATAATTAATATTAATCAACTTGACTGAATTTTACATTTTATTAAATTAAAATTAAAAAAAAAAAAATAGAAATTAAAATAAAGTTGGTGCAGAATAATAATAAATAAAATATTCGTATAAAATAATAAATATTGCAATACAACTACAGCCTTAGGATTCGATTTCTCTTATCACTTTCGAACGAGTGCGAATCGAAGTTTACAAGCCGGTGAAATATAAATAGACACAAATGACAACTTAAAAAAAACTACGAAACGTAGGAAAAAAAAATTTAAACAAAATGTTGTGACTCTTAAAACTTATTATCTGATCATTTAACTAAATAAATAATTATTAAAACATTTTTTATTGGACTTTTCGTTCAACAAATTTTTTATACTGTCTTAATAACTATTTATTTGTAAAAAATTTTTCTATATTAATTTTTTTTGTACAATATCAATTGTTTTTAAATAATTAAAATTAATAGAAAATAATTAATTTTTCTTTTCATTAGGAAACTTTTGAAAAAAAGTCATTTTTTAAGCTGCGAGAATTTTTCGAAAGTTTTAAAACGCTTCATATTAATAAAAAGATATGTGGTACATACAATTTTCCAATGTGCATGCAAATAAAAATTCAGCCTTTTTATATCCTATGCATAATAGAAATACGAATCTTTGGAATTAATTTTCGACTCTTGGTTTTTTTCTGCATTTTTTTTCTCACGGCTGAATAGATTGTATGAAAAGCATTAAATATTCCAGAAGTCGCGTTAATTTTGTAAATTTCAATTCTTGTGTCGATTTTTTGTTTTTGTTTTTTTTGAATCGCTGGAATGTGCTGTATAGAGAAACTATCCAGTCAATGGATGACGTTAGGCATCAATTCAACGTTTTGACGAAACATTGGTGAGCCCTTTGACTTCCTTCAAATCACTCGCTTCTTTTTCCCATCGGAAATGTTTTCACCTCTCTATTGAGCTCGAACTGACTGTTTTCGCTCCTACAACAGAAAAAAATCCCACCTTCTGCTATTCAAATCTTTTAATAAAAAACATTAACCTCGAGTCTTCATTACTAAGTTGGAGAGAGAGAAAGAGAAAAATTTAATTTTAATTTCGTCTCAAAATAAATGCGAATATTTTTTCATTCTTGATAAATATTTAAATTTAGACAATAATTAAATTATACAAAAAATAATAATATTTAAATAATTTAATTAATTTAAATAATTAAACTAATCTGACAATTTAATTAATTAATTATTAATTTTTAATTTATTCATTAATCTAATTAATTTAAAAAATTATACTAAATGGAAAGAAAATTGAAGCTCAAAATTAACATTCTGTTAGTAAATGGTGGCTGAGAAATTTTTTTTTAATTTTTCAATATAGATTTTCGAGTGAAGCAAAGCTGTTTGTAATAATTGTATAAAAAAGACGTGAGGTTTTTTTTTAAATTTTATAGAAAAAATACATGTGAAAAAGTGACCGAAGAACTGCGTTTCTACAAAAAAAGTTAAACATACAATCAACAAGCAAAGCAAGGATGATAAAAATACAAACACTAATTAAAAATTATTATCAAACACATATAATAAAAATTTTCTAATTGCATTTTGGCGAGCAATTTTTTTTTACAGAGTATAATGAGAATCCCAAAATTGTTTACATTGTTCCACCAATATCTTCACGTGAATTTGACTCAATAATTTAATTTTCAATTTTTAATTTTAATTTCGAGAATTATTTTTTTCTTTCTTAATATTAAAAATTTATTTATTTCTTTTTTTTCTTTTGTTATAAAATTTCTTTCTTTCCTGTTTTTTTGCTAATTTTTCGCAAATTTACGTGAAGAAATTGATAGAAAACGATTTTGCTCGATGAAATTGACGTAAAAATTAAAAAAAAAAAAATGATTAAACGATGTGCATCGCAAGAGTTAACGAAAATGAAAGAGATTTAAAACTAATTTTACGCACCTGCAGTACATTAATCGTAAATGTCAATCTTCTCCTTCGATTTTTATTAATCCCCCAAGTATACAATCCATATTTAACGATTCGTCGATTCAATTCTTTGTAATCACAAATGCAAAATATATTCAAAAATTATTAAAAACAGTGTTAAATACAAATGCGTGCTGTGAAAATTAACAGATTGACACAATTTTTTTTTCTTAACTTTCTGATAAACCAAAAAATATATAATTTCGAAAATAAAAATTTTTTAAGTCCCCTTTTTTCATTTCCAGGCTTTGCAATCTATAATTAATTTGAAAAAAGTTGCAAAAAGTATTTTTAAGTCTGAAAAAAGTAGCAAAAGTAGATATCGAAAAATTAAGTTTGATGAAAAACACTCAATTTAATCGATTCTCAAAAATTTGATTCACTGCATTTCATTTTTTAATTTCACTTAATAAATATTAAAAAGAAAAGAAAATTTTCAATTTCATTATTTTTCAGTCTAGATCTAAAACTACATTCTCTTTTTTCCCCAGAACAAAAATTTCGAGTGGTGTTTACAAGAACAAACACTTCTTACAAAATAATTTATTTTTCTTTATTAAAGTATCAAGGCACTACTTTCTTAAGCATCGTTATACGTTATAATAACGCTCACAATGTTCTCTTAGAGTGATATATATAGCTATATATAAACAATAATCATATATTTCTCCTATCTAAAACTAAATTAAAATTATTATTATTAATAGATCAATAAAATTAAACTATCTAAATAAAGTATAATACAAGGTGCCTCGAATTGAAGCAAAGGCGAAATATTTTGTTGTCAAGAACACAGTCTGTTAAAATCTCGTCTGATTAATATCTACGCTTAATTTATATTTTATTTATATATATATTTTTTTTTTATTTTTTATTTATATTTATAATATGAGTACGTTAAAAATACAAGCGCAATGAGTTGAGACGCGAGTTCTATATTTGTTATTAGATTATTATATTTTTCTTTTGTTTTTATATAAAAAAAATTACTCGAAAAAAAATTCGAGACACCCCGCAGGTAGTAGATCAGCTCTTAGGACACAATCGAAGTAAAAAACTACAAATGAGTTTTTATATTGAGAAATGCACGCAACAAAAAATTTCTTTTGATAAAATTCTTCAATCAAAAGTATTATTATTAATATAATAAACAATTAAAAAAGTCATGCAATAGTGTAGAAATAATAATAATAATAATAGTGATTTGTTTAGTGACAGCCGAAAAAAAAACATTTTCTTAAAGTTTAACTTAAACTTAAAGTTTAATTTATTATTAAATTTATAAAATTTATAATTCGTATACCCAAATAATATATATTCTCTTGGAAAAATTTTCAAAAATATTCTCTATTCCACAAAACCCATAAATTTAAAAATATAATTTTCTATAAAAACAATTTACTGATTTTCAATTATCATTCACTTTTTTTTATTTGTTAAAGAATTTCTAATATTATTATCTACTTTTAAAAATATAATATGCGAATTTCTCATTTTCACTAAAAGATTCAGTTCAAATGGCAATTGTTTAAAATTTTTAGTTCGCGAAATTTTAAACAATTAAAAATGCTTTTCCTTCAGTTCTTTTTTTTCAATAAATACAAACTCTAAATTATTCATTACCAAAGACTGCAATGAATTCATACATAAAATGCTTTGAAAATATCAATAATAACAAACTATCTTCATGATAATTATAAATTCTCGTATTTTTCAATAAAAATCTTCTAATAAAACTGTATCACAGATAGAAAATTCGTTATTAAATTATCTTTTCAAAAAAAGCTACAATATCAAATACAACATTCAACATTGAAAATGCACATATAAAAAATACGACATGATAAAACAAATACTATTTTAAAAAAATATCCGTTTTAGTTCCCTTTTTTCATAGTTCTGAGAGTTAAATCCAATAAATCTCAATTTTCACTGATAAATACGAGAAATACTCCGCACGTTTAACGGCTATAATTGTATGTCAGCAATAATAAAATATTCACGTGAAAAAGAAAGTTTCTTTTTTTTCTCTTGTTGAAAGCATCCTAAAAGCAAAAATCTAAAAACAAAATACCCCGGAATTGTTAATTTAAAAGAAGAAAAACAAAAAAAACATAATACGACAACAGGCAAAAATAATTCGGTGAATAAAAAAAAGTATTCTACGTAGAAGAATGAATTCCTAAAGCGTGAAAAATCTTATTTTTAAACCCGGGTTTGTTAGGACTAGCGTCGTGATGGCCAGACTGTCCTTCGTGCAGCGCCCTTTGAACCAGCGGCAATGAACCCTGTGATTGTGTGTCGTTTCGAAGAATCATCAGATTGGGCCGGATAACGAAAAAAGAACAAAAAGAAAGAAGAAAAGGATAGTAGACATCTAATGGTGTGCTACTTGCATGCGGTGCGACTAATTTTTCAATAAAGATTTTTGTCTTTTTTTTTCTTTGGTGTATACATTATTATAATGTAAAATAATTATAAATTGCTCACCTCGTCTTGTTGTTCGTGCTCGCTATTCGCCAGACTAGATCTGGAACCACGTCTCGTAGATCCTTTCTCTTCGCCTAAAATTTGTGCAACTTTTGATTGTTTTACTAAATCCAGGGCCTGAAAAACGTACAGTTTTATTAAAATAATATTCAAGTAAATAAAAATATAAAAGTTTATTAAAATAACGTTTATTAGAAAATAAATATTTAATAATAATTTTTATAGATCGGTCTTCGCATTCAAATACTAAAATTGCTATATTTTTTACTTTTTTTGCGATTTGCTACTATTTGGATAATTTTTTAGATTTGTTACACTAAAAGCTTTTTTTTGAGAATTTCCATTACTTTAAATCCGCTAATAGTTAAAATAAAAAACGGTTTTCAAAAATTTGAATAAAATAATTTTAAACAATTCAATTATTTTCAAAAATAAAAAGAATTTTTCGAAAGAATTAAATTACTTTCACAAATAATGAAATTCTTCGCAAAAATTCAAAGACTTTCATAAATAATAAAATATTCAGAGAAATTCAATTATTTAAAATAAAATTTTTTTGAAAGAAATTAATTATTTAAAGAAATTTGTATACAATTCTCTTCAAAAGAAATCAATTACTTTTAATGATTTTTATAAAATCTTTTTATAAGAATTCATATTTTTTTATGTAATTGTAAATCATTTTCAAAATTGTTCAAAAAAATGCAACTATTTAAAAAAATGAAATAAAATTCTTTGTAAGCATTCAATTATTTTCAGAAATACCTAATAAAATACTTCGCAAGAATTTAATTATTTAAAAAATATATTATTAAAATTCATTGCAAGAACTCAATTATTTACATAAATAATAAAATTCTTTGCAGGATTTCAATTATTTTTAATACAATTTCAAATAAATTCTTCGAATAATGCAATTATTCTTAAAAATTTTACTAAAAGTAATTTATTTTTAATGATTTTGATTTTGTTTAGAAGAATTCATATGCTGAATACAATTCTAAATTATTTTCAAAATTCTTCAGAAAAATTCAATTAATTAAAAAACATTAAATAAAATTCTTTCCAAGCATTCAATGACATTCACAAGTAATAAAATTCTTCGCAGGAATTCAAGTATTTAAAAAAAAATTTACTAACATTTTTCCAAGAATTCAATTATTTTCATAATTATAATAAAATTCTTTGCAGGATTTCAATTATTTTTAAAAATTTAATTCAAATTCTTGGAAAAAATTCAAATATTTCTAAACATTTTGGTAAAATTCTTTAGGGGAATTCAATTTTAAGAAATATTCAATTATTCAATCAATTATTAATTTTTGTATCTAAATAATTGAATTCTCGTAGAAATTTCTGAGAAGAATCAATGTCAAAATGAATTTCAATTAAAATGTTAAATAATAATTGAATATTTAAATTGTTATAAGCAGGTTTTTGAATTGAAGTCTTTGAAAAATTTCATTGTTGTTAAAGTGTAATAATATTTAACTATTTAAAAAAAAATTATTTATTTAATATTTTTCTTAAAAGATATTAAAGTTTTGGAATTATTTTTTTTAAATTCCAAAAAAGTAATTAAATGTTGGAAGAATTAGTTTTAATTTTTAGAAATAATTAAATTTTAAAAAGTTTTTACATTGAAATTATTTAAAATATTAATTCATGTGGGAAAATAAATAATTATTTGGAAAATAATTGAATTTTAGAAAAATGTAGAATTAAAGTTATTACCAGGGCAAAAAAATGAGTATTTTTTTATTGAAATTAGGACAAAGAGAGGAAAATACTGAATTAAATTTTTGTGAATAGTCTAAATTGAGTCTTTTTTTAATCAAATTTAATGTTTCGATATCTACTTTTTACTACTTTTTTTCAGTTTTAAAACTACTTTTTGCTACTTTTCTGAAATTAATTATTGAGTGCGAGGCCTGTATATAAGTATTCAAGTCCTCTTCTCATTAGAATTTTTCCAATTTTATTTCGAACAATTATTTAAAACTAATAAAATAAGAAATAGTCTTGTTTATAAATTTCATTTTTTCAATTGAGACAAAATAAAAGTTTTTTGATTTAATTTTTTATAAAATTTAGTCCTCCTCTCATTAAAATTTCTCCAATTTTATTTTGAATAATTATTTAAAAGCAGGTAATAAAATAAGAAATAATTTTGTTTATAGTTTTCATTTTTGCAATTGAGTCAAATTCAAATTTGTTTCATTTAATTTTCAAGAAACGGAAAATTTTACTCTTTTCTACCCGAAAAACATTTTTTTCATTCATTGATAATAAAGTTTGTGAACTTCACCGCCGTCGTATTTTCAAAACAATAAAAATTTAACTTCGTAACTTTGTAAAATTTGTTAAAAACAGCACAAGAATATAAATTACTACCGAACTGTTTTTAATTATTAAATTTATTTCCAAAAAAGAAAATAACAAACTAATTTGACAACTACTCAATCTTACCTGCTGAACATGCTGCATGGAACAAAAATCATTAAAAATTGAATTCATTTGAAATTTCACGAGAAATTTCAAATTTTGTTTCAAATTTTTTTCATTAAATAATTTAACTCCATTCAATATTTGTATATTGTTACTTGAAGTTATTGAAATGAATTGAATTTGAAATTACAGAATACTGAAGAAACAGTACTCAAACAATTTTTGATTATTGAAACAAATGTAAAAAAAAATATTTAGAAAAGTGAAATTAATTTGACGAAATAAGCAAACTTTGATGAATATTTTTTTTAATGATGAAATATTTTAAAAATAGAAGACAAAAAAAAATCTCACCTCTTTTCGCGATCTAAGGGCACAGTCGTCGAGTGTGTCGGCGGCTTCGTATTTGCCTTGACGTCTATAAAGTGCACCAAGATTCTTAAGTGTAGTTGTTACTGTCGGTGAATCAACTTTTGCTGCTTTATGCCATCCTCCATACTCTCCATATGGAGCATTCTCCTTGTTCTTATGTTTATTCTCTTCCCTCTCCTCAGCGACCTTTAAAAAATATCACAACAAAATCAATAAAATACGTTTGATATTTAAAAAGAAATGTTAAAATTTTAAGGAAAAATTAATTTTAATCTAATTAATATATTGATTTTGTATAAATATTTTCCTTCATTCGGACAATAGGCTTAAGATTTAATAAATACTAACAGGGTTGCCACAAAAATTATAATTTGTATTTCCCTGACTTTTCTCTGACTTCAACACGCAAAAAATATTTTATCTAGAACAACTACAAATTTTATTATATTAGCGAAATTTTTAGTTGTTTCAGTCAAAAGTTTTGCTATTCTAGAGAAAATTATTGCTATTCCAGGTGAAATATTTTTCCGTGCAAACAGAATTTATACTTTTTCCCTGATCCCTATAAAAAAATTCAAATGGAGTTCAATTATAAAAAAAGATAATTTAAAATATTTAATTTAAATTTAACATTTAATTTATAATTTCAAGGGTGACAACCATTTTATAAGTAAAATTAGTTATTGTGACAAACTTCTTTCAATTTTCATTTCTCAACAATTTCAATAAAACTTTTAAAAAATTAAATTATTTTTAATATATTTTTAGGAAATTTCAATTATTTCAAAAGATTTTATAAAAAGTCAATTATGTTTCAAGAAAAATCTAGAATATTTTAGAAACTTAATTCTTTAGAATTTAAAATAAATTTTTTGATAATTCAATTTTTGAACATAAATTTTAAATTTGTACATTTTTAAAAATAACTGATTATTAAAACTTGTTATTGCAAAACTTTTTTAAAATTAAATTATTTTACATGTAATATGGTCTTTTTAATGCTAATTTCACACTAAAAAACACAATAATAAACGATTTTGACTCCTTGTAATATTCGATTCATTAACTTAAATAAAAATTAAAATTGAAAATTTTAATAAAATTCTTTGCAGGAACATTTATTTTTAAAAATTTAATAGAATTCTTTGAAATAATTCAATTACTTTCATAAATAATAAAATTCTTTGCAAGAATTCAAATGTCTTTATAAATAATAAAATTCTATAAAATTATTTTCAGTTACTTTAAATACAATTTTAATTAAATTTCTTGAAAGAATTCAAATACTTAAAAGAATTGTAATAAAATTCTGACAAAAATTCAATTATTTAAAAACAAATTTAATATAAATTCTTTGAAATAATTCAATTACTTCCATAAGTAATAAAATTCTTAGCGGAAATTCAATTATTTTCAATACAATTTTAATAAAATTTCTAGAAAGAATACAATTATTTTTAAAAATATTAATTAAATTCGATTATTTTTAAGAATTTTAATATAAATTCAATTATTTTCAACAATTCTCACAAAAAATTCTACGAAACAATTCAATAATTTTTATAAACTGTATAATTCTTGGCAAGAGTAAATAAAGAAATTCTTCTGAGAAATTCAATTATTTTCAATATTTCAATACAATTTTAAAAAATTACATTATTTTTACGAAATTTAATGAAATTCTTGAAAAAAATGTAATTATTTGCAAAAAAACTAATAAAATTGTTTAAAAGAAATTAAATTTCTATAAATAATTTTAATACCTATAATTTAATAGAAAAATTATTACCTAATTACAATTTTTTAATTTATTAACACGATTATTTAAAAAATTTAAATAAAATCTTCATAAAATTCAAGAACTTTTAAAATTTTCAGTAAAAATTATTTAAAAAAACTCCATTATTTTCCAGAAAATTGAAATAAATTCTTCAAAACAATTGAATTATTTTAAAGAATTTTAATAAAAATCTTGCCAAGAATTAAATTATTTTCAATACAATTTTAATTACATTTTCTCCAAAAGAATTGAATTATTGAAAAAATGTTGATAAAATTCTTAAAATGAATTCAATTATTTTTAATTCTTTTATAATTACTTTACTTTATTCAAAGAATTTCTTTAGAACAAAAAAAAATGGTTTTTCAGTTTTTTAAAATTACTTTTGTTTACGAAAATCAGAATTTTTGTAGTAATTCTAGAATTTTGTTATTTTTCTAGTACTTTTCGTAACATTCTTTGACATGTGGCAACATTTTTTTAAGTTTTACCGTAATTTACTATAAATAAGGCTGAAGGCTGCAACGTTTTTAAAAAAATAATGAGATGATATTTATTATTTTAGCTTCAAATTTTAATTATTGTTGGCAACTGTCCTCTAAAAAAAAGTAACTAAAATTGAAATTAAACTAAAAATCTTTAGAAGAACTGAATAAAAAATGCAAAAGAGCAACACACCTGCCAAATTGGTTTATTATCACCGTCAATAGCACCAAACTCCCTTTCGTGAGCTCTTGTTAATACTTGTTTATAAAGAACTTCGGCACCCTTGTATTTCCCCTGTTTCAAGTAACAAGATGCAAGATTATTTTTCGTCTTTGCAACATTAGGATCGTCCGGTCCAAGTTTCGCCTCATAGATTTCCAATGCACGCTGATAATAACGTTCAACCTCCTCGTATTTGCCCTGATTTTGACAAAGCAATGCAAGATTATTCAATTGCTTGGCAACATCGGGATGATCGCGTCCAAGAACTTTTTCACGAATTTCCAATGCCCGTTTACATAATGGTTCGGCTTCCTTATATTTGCCACGTTTCCCATAGAGAACGGCAAGATTATTTAATGTCGCCGCAACTGCCGGATGATTTTCACCCAGTGTCTTCTCACGTATTGCCAATGCGTCATTCAATAGATTTGCCGCTTCCTTGTATTTATTTTGATCTCGGTAAACTAAGGCGAGGATATTTAACATTGTGGCCACATCAGGATGATCATGACCAGATGTCTTCTCTAAATCCTCTAAGGCCTGCTTACAGAGCGGTACTGCCACTTCATAGCGACCCTGACTTGCATATTGAATAACAAGATTGTGCAAAGTTCGTAAACGTGCCGGAATTTCGTAACCAGCATTAACTTGCTGTGCAAATTGCGAAGGTGGAGTCGGTGACATTGCTGCAAAAATAAGAATAGAAAATTTATATACCACTTTATCAATTATTCACAAAAAGTCTCGCAAATATTTCTTAACAAAATAATGTTGATAAAGTTCACTCAACGTTTATGATCAATGATTGAAAAAAAACTTTCTTTACGAAAATACTATAATGTTTTTACCAAAGTACAAAATGATTCAATCATTGAAAATAGTTCTAAGAAATATTTGCAAGACTTGGAAAGAGTTCGAGTAGTTATAAACGTTTATTTGGAATTATTTTCTACCATTTCTATTTAAAATTATTTTAATTAAATATATTTCAAAAGTTTAATTATATCTTAAAAATTTTATTCAAAAATAAATAAAAGATTTGTCTAAAGTTATTTTTCACACTATGCAAATCCAAATAAGTTGCATTTTATATCAGAAAAGTGGTGTTTTGTTGCGATATTTAAAATAAAAGTCGAAAAAGTCGCATTTTCTTTTAAAAAATTGTCAAAAGTCAACAAGTGTCAGAAATTATTATTATATTATTATATTATTATTATATATATAATAATCGTCGTGATTCCAGATTTCCGGATCTCTGTCCACACTTGAAGTTAGTTATAGTTATTCTTTTGTTTTTTATACGTTTTGATAGAAAATAGAAATATACATATACATTATAACAATCGTAAGTTTCCTTTCCGTTAGCAAATTATCTGCATTCATTTGTTTGTTTTGAAAATTTAATTTTGTGGGTTAAGTATTGGCATTTTTTATATATTTTTTAATGTCAAACTTTTTAATGTGGAAAATACTTTACTTATTAAATTGTCTCGACTCTTTGGTAAAAAATCTAAAATTATCAAAAATTCGAAAAAATTCAAAAATCCGATTTTCTTAAAATTCAACATTTTTTCTTCTCTTTTATGGGATTTAGCTTCATTATTTTTGTGCTTTTGGAAAATACTTTACTTATTTAATAGTCTCGACTCTTTGGTAAAAAATCTAAAATTATCAAAAATTCGAAAAAATATTCAAAAATCCGATTTTCTTAAAATTCAACATTTTTTCTTCTCTTTTATGGGATTTAGCTTCATTATTTTTGTGCTTTTGGAAAATACTTTACTTATTTAATAGTCTCGACTCTTTGGTAAAAAATCTAAAATTATCGAAAATTATCAAAAATTCAAAAATCCAAATTTCTTAAAATTCAACATTTTTTCTTCTTTTTTATATAATTTAGCTTCATTATTTTTGTGCTTTTGGAAAATACTTTACATATTTAATAGTCTCGACTCTTTGGTAAAAAATGTAAAATTATGAAAAATTCGAAAAATTTCAAAAATCCGAATTTCTTAAAATTCAACATTTTTTCTTCTCTTTTATGGGATTTAGCTTCATTATTTTTGTGCTTTTGGAAAATACTTTACATATTTAATAGTCTCGACTCTTTGGTAAAAAATCTAAAATTATCGAAAATTAACAAAAATTCAAAAATCCGAATTTCTTAAAATTCAACATTTTTTCCTCTCTTTTATAGGATTTAGCTTCATTATTTTTGTGCTTTTGGAAAATACTTTACTTATTAAATTGTCTCGAATCTTTGGTAAAAAATCTAAAATTAATGAAAATTATCAAAAATTCAAAAATCCGAATTTCTTAAAATTCAACATTTTTTCCTCTCTTTTATAGGATTTAGCTTCATTATTTTTGTGCTTTTGGAAAATACTTTACTTATTAAATTGTCTCGACTCTTTGGTAAAAAATCTAAAATTATCGAAAATTATAAAAAATTCAAAAATCCAAATTTCTTAAAATTCAACATTTTTTCTTCTTTTTTATATAATTTAGCTTCATTATTTTTGTGCTTTTGGAAAATACTTTACATATTTAATAGTCTCGACTCTTTGGTAAAAAATGTAAAATTATGAAAAATTCGAAAAATTTCAAAAATCCGTTTTTCTTAAAATTCAACATTTTTTCCTCTCTTTTATAGGATTTAGCTTCATTATTTTTGTGCTTTTAGAAAATACTTTACTTATTAAATTGTCTCGACTCTTTGGTAACAAATCTAAAATTATCGAAAATTATCAAAAATTCAAAAATCCGAATTTCTTAAAATTCAACATTTTTTCCTCTCTTTTGTAGGATTTAGCTTCATTATTTTTGTGCTTTTGGAAAATACTTTACTTATTAAATTGTCTCGACTCTTTGGTAAAAAATCTAAAATTATCGAAAATTATAAAAAATTCAAAAATCCAAATTTCTTAAAATTCAACATTTTTTCTTCTTTTTTATATAATTTAGCTTCATTATTTTTGTGCTTTTGGAAAATACTTTACATATTTAATAGTCTCGACTCTTTGGTAAAAAATGTAAAATTATGAAAAATTCGAAAAATTTCAAAAATCCGTTTTTCTTAAAATTCAACATTTTTTCTTCTCTTTTATGGGGTTTAGCTTCATTATTTTTGTGCTTTTGGAAAATACTTTACTTATTAAATTGTCTCGACTCTTTGGTAAAAAATCTAAAATTAATGAAAATTATCAAAAATTCAAAAATCCGAATTTCTTAAAATTCAACATTTTTTCCTCTCTTTTGTAGGATTTAGCTTCATTATTTTTGTGCTTTTGGAAAATACTTTACTTATTAAATTGTCTCGACTCTTTGGTAACAAATCTAAAATTATCGAAAATTATCAAAAATTCAAAAATCCGAATTTCTTAAAATTCAACATTTTTTCCTCTCTTTTGTAGGATTTAGCTTCATTATTTTTGTGCTTTTGGAAAATACTTTACTTATTAAATTGTCTCGACTCTTTGGTAAAAAATCTAAAATTATGAAAAATTCGAAAAATTTCAAAAATCCGTTTTTCTTAAAATTCAACATTTTTTCTTCTCTTTTATGGGGTTTAGCTTCATTATTTTTGTGCTTTTGGAAAATACTTTACTTATTAAATTGTCTCGACTCTTTGGTAAAAAATCTAAAATTAATGAAAATTATCAAAAATTCAAAAATCCGAATTTCTTAAAATTCAACATTTTTTCCTCTCTTTTGTAGGATTTAGCTTCATTATTTTTGTGCTTTTGGAAAATACTTTACTTATTAAATTGTCTCGACTCTTTGGTAACAAATCTAAAATTATCGAAAATTATCAAAAATTCAAAAATCCGAATTTCTTAAAATTCAACATTTTTTCCTCTCTTTTGTAGGATTTAGCTTCATTATTTTTGTGCTTTTGGAAAATACTTTACTTATTAAATTGTCTCGACTCTTTGGTAAAAAATCTAAAATTATCAAAAATTCGAAAAAATTCAAAAATTTGATTTTCTTAAAATTCAACATTTTTTCTTCTCATTTATGGGGTTTAGCTTCATTATTTTTGTGCTTTTGGAAAATACTTTACATATTTAATAGTCTCGACTCTTTGGTAAAAAATCTAAAATTATCAAAAATTTGAAAAATTTCAAAAATCCGAATTTCTTAAAATTCAACATTTTTTCTTCTTTTTAATGGGATTTAGCTTCATTATTTTTGTGCTTTTGGAAAATACTTTACATATTAAATTGTCTCGACTCTTTGGTAACAAATCTAAAATTATCGAAAATTATCAAAAATTCAAAAATCCGAATTTCTTAAAATTCAACATTTTTTCCTCTCTTTTATAGGATTTAGCTTCATTATTTTTGTGCTTTTGGAAAATACTTTACTTATTAAATTGTCTCGACTCTTTGGTAAAAAATCTAAAATTAATGAAAATTATCAAAATTTCAAAAATCCGTATTTCTTAAAATTCAACATTTTTTCTCTTTTTTTTATATAATTTAGCTTCATTATTTTTGTGCTTTTGGAAAATACTTTACATATTAAATTGTCTCGACTCTTTGGTAACAAATCTAAAATTATCGAAAATTATCAAAAATTCAAAAATCCGAATTTCTTAAAATTCAACATTTTTTCCTCTCTTTTATAGGATTTAGCTTCATTATTTTTGTGCTTTTGGAAAATACTTTACTTATTAAATTGTCTCGACTCTTTGGTAAAAAATCTAAAATTATCAAAAATTCGAAAAAATTCAAAAATTTGATTTTCTTAAAATTCAACATTTTTTCTTCTCTTTTATGGGGTTTAGCTTCATTATTTTTGTGCTTTTGGAAAATACTTTACTAATTAAATTGTCTCGACTCTTTGGTAAAAAATCTAAAATTAATGAAAATTATCAAAAATTCAAAAATCCGAATTTCTTAAAATTCAACATTTTTTCCTCTCTTTTGTAGGATTTAGCTTCATTCTTTTTGTGCTTTTGGAAAATACTTTACTTATTAAATTGTCTCGACTCTTTGGTAAAAAATCTAAAATTAATGAAAATTATCAAAAATTCAAAAATCCGAATTTCTTAAAATTCAACATTTTTTCTTCTCTTTTATGGGATTTAGCTTCATTATTTTTGTGCTTTTGGAAAATACTTTACATATTTAATAGTCTCGACTTTTTGGTAAAAAATCTAAAATTATCAAAAATTCGAAAAATTTCAAAAATCCGTATTTCTTAAAATTCAACATTTTTTCTTCTTTTTTATATAATTTAGCTTCATTATTTTTGTGCTTTTGGAAAATACTTTACATATTAAATTGTCTCGATTCTTTGGTAACAAATCTAAAATTATCCAAAATTATCAAAAATTCAAAAATCCGAATTTCTTAAAATTCAACATTTTTTCCTCTCTTTTATAGGATTTAGCTTCATTATTTTTGTGGTTTTGGAAAATACTTTACTTATTAAATTGTCTCGACTCTTTGGTAAAAAATCTAAAATTAATGAAAATTATCAAAAATTCAAAAATCCGAATTTCTTAAAATTCAACATTTTTTCCTCTCTTTTATAGGATTTAGCTTCATTATTTTTGTGCTTTTGGAAAATACTTTACTTATTAAATTGTCTCGACTCTTTGGTAAAAAATCTAAAATTAATGAAAATTATCAAAAATTCAAAAATCCGAATTTCTTAAAATTCAACATTTTTTCTTCTCTTTTATGGGATTTAGCTTCATTATTTTTGTGCTTTTGGAAAATACTTTACATATTTAATAGTCTCGACTTTTTGGTAAAAAATCTAAAATTATCAAAAATTCGAAAAATTTCAATAATCCGTTTTTCTTAAAATTCAACATTTTTTTTCGCTTTTATACCATTTAGCTTTATTATTATTTGAATTTTTATTCAAGAAAAAAAATGGAAAACTGAAAAAATTTAGAATTTTTTAAAAATTACAGGCCTTTTCCATGATTTCCCTGATTTCCAGAAGCCTTTTAAAAATTCCATACCATTTTCATGATTTTCCAGATTCTGTAGGAACCCTGCTTTTGTCTGACTTTCTTCTAAATTATCGAATTCAGTGATTTCTGGGGTGAATTTGGTTAAGTTGTAAAATGATTAATTTCTATTTGAATTCGTTTTTTTTTTGAATGTAGAAAATCTGATGTTAATTTAATTCTTTTTTCGTTATGCACGGCAAAAAATATTTAGCTGGATGAACTACAGATTTCACTTTAGTAGCGAAATTTTTCAGTGCTTCAATTAATACTTTCGTTATTCTAGAGAAACTTATCGCTATTTCAAGTAAAACTTTTTTCAGTGTGTAATAATTATTATTTCTTTGAAAAGTATTTAATTTAAAATGGCTTTATAAAATAAGCAATGCAAAAGATGACCCAGATACTAATTGTAATTGTTCTAGCCATAGTTTAAGTCTAGTAATGTAAATTCTATTTAAATTGAGACCATTGAGTGAAATTATTTGAATTTTAGTTAGTTAAATCTCTTTGTTAGGTTATAATAATTATTTCTTTAAAATTTTTTAAATTGTTTAAAATAAGCAGCCCCATACAACATTCCCACGCGCTTGCGCGCGGATAGTTTGGCTAGTATACATTTAATCGTAAGTTTCCTTTCCGTTAGCAAATTATCTGCATTCATTTGTTTGTTTTGAATATTAATTTTTGTGGGTTATTTTTATTTTTTTTAATGTCAAAAAAAACGAAAAAAAACTCGTTTTATTCACTTCACAAAATTGACAAAAATTCCATTCCATATTTTTTATTTTCCTGACTTTTTCCTAATTTTCATCAAAAATATTTACTTTTTTCTTATCCTGCTTATAAATTGAATTTCTGCTACGAATTTTATTATTCATGAAATTTGAAATAATTTAATTCTTGCGAAGAATTTTATAAAAAATTTCAAATAAGTCATTTCTTTTAAATAATTTTATGCAAATTCTAATTTAAATAATTGAATTGATGAAAATTTTTATTATTCATGAAAAGAATTGGATTTTTACAAACCATTTTTTAAATAATTGAATTCTATTTGGAAATTTTATGAAAATATTATATATTGAAAATCATTGAATTGCGAAAATTGTTTAAAGATAATTAAATTTTACAAAGAATTCTATTAAAAAATTTGTCAATAATTGAATGTCTGTGGGAAATTTTATTAAATTTTTTTAACTTAGAATGTTTTCAGGACCTTAAAAATTTTCAATGTTTTCAGGACAAATTTATTTGATTAAATTTTGTTGAAAATAATGAAATTTCTAAAAAACATTTTATTATTTATGAAAATAATTGAATTCTTGCAAACGATTTACTAGAACTTTTTAAAATAATGGAATTTTCAAGAAGAAATTTATTATTTTTAAAAAAAATTGAATTATTGTGATGAATAGTATTGTTCTTTATGAAAATAATTGAATTTTGAAAAAAATTTTATTAAAATACCACAAAATAATTGAATTTTTTGGAGTAATTTTTTTAATTATTTTTAATAATTGAATTCTTTCGAAAAATTATTTGTGTAAATAATTGAATTCTTTCGAAAAATTATTTGTGTAAATAATTGAATTCTTAGAAAAAATATTATTAAAATTTTAAAAAATTGAATTATTTCAAAAAAATTTAATTAAAATTGTATTTAAAACAATTAATTTCATTCGAACAATTTTATTAAATTTTTGAAAATAATTATTCAATTCTTCCATAGAATTTAAAAAAAACATTTTTTTAAATAATTTATTTTTGTCGAGGAATTGAAATTAAGTTTTTAAGAATAATTAAATTTTTGAGCAATTCAATTGTATTAAAAATAATTGAAATCCTGCTATAAATTTTATTATTTATGAAAATAATTGAATAGTTTTTAATTTGAATAGAATTTTATTATAATTCTCAAAAATAATTGAATTACAGAGAAGAATTTTATTATTTTTGAAAGTAAGTGAATTCTTCATTAGAATTTTATAAACATTGTTTTAAATAATTATTTTTTTCGAAATATAATAAATATTATGAAAATTTTATTATTTAAAATAATTGAATTCTTGTGTGAAAACTTTATTTGTGAAAATAACTGAATTTTTCGATTATTAATTTAAAATAGTAATGAAAATAATTGAAATTCTTCTATGAGTTTTATTATTTATGAAAATAATTAAATTTTTGCTTAGAATTTAATCAAAACTTTTTTTTTAAATTGATTTTTCATAAAAAATTTTATTATTAGTGAAAGTAATTTAATTATTGTGAAAAATAAATTGCATAAAATTTTGTTAAATAATTTATTGATTTTTTCGAAATTTTTTTGAAAATTAGCGAATTTAAAATAGTGGAAATTCTCTAAAAAAATATAATTTATATTCTTTGTTCAGAAAGTTGAATATTATTTTTAATTTAGGTATCAAATATCAATTTTTGCGAAATTCAATTTACCTAGTACAAGAAAGTTGAATTATTTTCAATTTTGAAAATCTGATGTAAAATTTAAAATTAGTATTAAAATTTGTTAAAGTTTTTTATGTACTTTGAAGTTTAAAAATATAATATAATTTGAAAATTTAATTCTAATTAGTTTTTCAGTTATGTGTCATAATAAGTATTTCTTTAAAAATTACTTAAATTAAAATGACTTGAAATTGTTTACAATAAACAGCGTAACACAACATTCCCGCGCGCTTGCGCGCGGATAGTTTGGCTAGTTGTAAAATAAATTTTTAAAATTAAAACTTGTCGGAAATTGTAAAATAGATTTTAGAAATAAAAAATGTTAAAAAATTTTTTCTAGAAAACAGATTTCATTAGAAATTGTATTTTTGTTAGAAAAAAAAGGATTATAAAATATATTTTACATAAACTGAGCACCTATCAGTTAAAAAAAGTCGTATTTTTTCTAAATAATAAATAAGTCTAAATAAGTCGAAAAAGTAGTACTAGCCGAGGCCTAATTACTCAAAAATAGAAAATAATTGTAAATAAAACGAGATTTACTTAAGAGGAGAGAGAAATAAGGCCTCAACATACACTTACTGTTTCGCTCCTCAGCATCGTCATCAGGAAACAGTGAGAGATCGATGGGATCATCTTTTGGTCTATCCTTGGCATTCTCATCGTCAACAGGTGGATCTGGATCGTATTGTCTCATGTTTGCCATGAATTCGAGATGCTTTTTCTCCTCCTCCAATTGGGCGACCTTAAAAAAAATTTTCACACTTTAAAAATTGTCAATTTTCCCTAATAAAAATCAATTATTTTCCCAATATTATTTACTTAATATTTAATTTGATATGAAGCTGAAACTGGCACCCAGTTATCATCGCCCACTTTTTTTTTGGAAATTAAATTTTAAAGTTAAATATTTTTTTTTGGTTAAAACCGACAGGTTTTAAACCAAAAAAAATATTTAACTTTAAAATTTAATTTCCAAAATAATAATATCTAACTTTGAAATAACGTTTTGAAAAATTGAATTCAGGTGCTGATAACTGGGTACAAATTTCAATTTCATAAAAAATATTTAAAGTAAAATTAAATTTTCAAAATTAAGAGAGTGCCAGTTTCTGCTTCATTAATTTAATTCGATTATTAATGAAACAAAAAAACTCACGGCTTGTTCACTGGCTTGGAGTTTTTGTTGAGTACCAGCTAATTCGTCCCTTAACCAGGCATTTTCCTGACACAACCTCTTCACCTGGGTTCGAAGTTTTTGTTTCTCAGCCTCGACCATTTGCAAATGACTCGCCAGTGCCATCATCACTTGCGCCTCACCAAGACCCAATTCAATCATCTCGATATTCTTCGACAACAATGTTGTTTTGTCACGTGCTGCCGGCGCCTCCTGCGACTGTAGACTCTGAAGAAGACCACTGTGCTCCACTCTCAGGGTCTCCAGTCCTTGAGCAACGGTGCGAGCACCCGCCACAATCTCCTCCTGCGTCATGGCTGTCATTCTGCCGATGTGTTCTATTTTTTTTCTGAAAACATCAAAACAAACTTTAGTATAAACAAGATTAATGAGAAAAATAATTATTAGATATTCGAATTTTTCCCGAATTATTATTATAATTATTTCTATTTGCTATTATTATTACTATTTTTTATTATTATTATTTTTGTTGATATAATTACACATAATTTATTTATAAAATTATAGAAAAAGAAACGAACTTTCAAATTGATTAAAATTCGTCTATTGAATTTTTTTTTCAACAAATTTTGTTTGGAAATATTTGAAAAATAGATTTTTTTTGCAAATATCAAATTTATTTCTTATAGTTCTTACTATACGCACAATTCGTACTATAAACATTCGAGTAAATCGAAACGATCGAAACTAAAAGCAAAATGATTCACTGCAAAATCATTCTCCTCTCTAAAAAAGGATATTCGATCAAGTTTCCACATTTTCCCCCCTACAATTAATTGTCCTTTGGAAAAATACTAGACTACATTCAAGGTGCAAAAAAAAAGTCATCAAAGTCAAGAACTGTCATTTGATTTCCCAAAAATAGAATTCACTCTTTTTCTCTTTTCTCGAGTTTTTTTTCGCCTAATAAATATAATTGTCGCTAATAACAGAAACAATTGGAAAGATTCAAGTTTCGTGTCAATGGAAAACTTGAATTTTATCGATAGAATTTTTTGAATGTAAACTTACCCCATTTTCAGGGCCGCGTGAAACTACACGAAAATCAATGGCTCAATAATTGAACGCAAGCGCAACGAGTTTCGAATCAAATGCGACAGACACTACAGGCATGAGAAGCACGTGAAAATGCAAGAAGAGAAAACCTTCGAGCCAAAGAGCCAAAATGAATCGATACGAAATGCCAGTAGTAATAGTTGTAGTAGTATAGTAGTAGTATTGGTATGAAACTGTCTGACGTTGAATTAAAAGAAAAACGATTATTCTATATCATTAAATCACATTGTCTGCACAATCTTTTACACTTTTTTGCAAAACTATATTTAGCATAGATTTATTTCCGTTTAACGAGATTGGAAAATTGTGGATTTTCAATTTTTGAATAATTTCTACGAAAATAGAAATTTATAATTAAATTAGAAGCGATTTTTTGCAAATTTAATGCGAGAGGAGGAAAATGTAAATATAATTTCCGAACGAAATTTTTTATGCGCTGGAAAACAATTTTTATCGACTATTATTAACAATAACTGTTAATAACAAAAACTGTTATTAACAATAACAACAGTTATTAGCAAAAGCAATTGTTATTAATAATAACATAACTGCTATTAACAATAATAACTAAAAGACCAAAAAAAAATTGAAAAATAGCAAAAAAAACTCAATTTTTGGCATTTTTTCCTAAAAGCTAGCAAATCGAAACTAGATTTTGGTTTCAAAATTAATTCCAATGATCCACAAGTTTTGAACGTTCAAATGAACGAAATACTTTATTAAAAAAATATTTTCAAAAATTCCCTACTGTAATAAAAATTAAAAACATGAATTTTATATTCAGAAACTTAATAAATAATAATTTTCAAAGTTTCGAAAAATTATTGTTATTAAATTTGAGTTTTAAAGAATTGTCCTAAAGCTTTGAAAGTTCAAAAATATTTTCAATCAAATTCATTTGAAAAAAAAAATGTTTTTCTATTTTTAAATATTTACAACGGTTACTGGAACAATAATTTTAAATAATAATAATAAAATTAAACAATATTAAAAATAAAATAAATTCAACATTTTTAGAAACGAATTAATTTTCGAATTTAACAAAAAAGTATTTTCTAAGAAAATTAAAATTTTAATGAAATATAAAAAATAAAAATTGTTGTTTATTTAAAGGTTCGAATCTTCAGGGGCATTTTGATGAAAAAATAAGTAGATTTCGTTCAGTTGAACGTTTAGAACTTAAGGATCATTAATTCTATCTGGATTTGAAAAAAAAAACATGACTAAGTGAATTTTCCAAATGATGAAAAATCGAGTTCCAAGGAAGAAAGAAATGAAATTGGAAAATCAAATCAAAAATAAATTTCAAATTGAAAAAGAAAATCTAAAATAGAAGAAAATCAAATAAAGAAGATGGAAAAATGATAAAATGAGTAGAATAATAGAAAGTAAAGGGAAAAATAGTTAAATATGAAAAAAATCAAAGGGAAGGTTAAAAAAATTCTAAACAGAAAATAGGACAAAATAAAGAAGAAAAACGAAATAAACTACGAAGAAAATGGATTTTAATTAGTTTTTGTCTATTAGAAGCAAAATAAAGAAATTTCGAGTAGAAAATGGAAAAAAAGAAGAAAAACGAAATAAACGACAACAAAAAATGAATTTTAATTAGTTTTTTTAATTAAAAATAAAAAATAAAAAATTTAAAAGTAGAAAATAAGGAAAAATCGAAATAAACTGGCAAAAAATAGATTTTAATCACTTTTTGTGCATTAAAAACGAAATAAATAAATCCCGAGTAGAAAATAGAAAAAAAGCAAAAAAAAGCAAAAAAAAAAAAACGACAAAAATGGATTTTAATTAGTTTTTACTTATAACAAACAAAAAAAAAATAAATTCCGAGTAGAAAATAGAAAAAAAAGAAGAAAACCAAGATAAAAATGGATTTCAATTAGTTTTTGTTTATTAAAACAAGAAATAAATAAATTTCAAGTAGAAAATATAAAAATCGAAATAAACTACCAAGAAAATGAATTTTAGTTATTTTTTGTTTAATTAAAAACAAAAAATAAATAAATTCCAAATAGAAAATAGAAAAAAGAAGAAAAACGAGAAAAAATGGATTTCAATTAGTTTTTGTTTATTAAAAACAAGAAATAAATAAATTCCATGTTGAAAATTGAAAAAAGTGAAATAAACTACCAAGAAAATGAATTTTAGTTAGTTTTTGTTTAATTAAAAACAAAAAATAAATAAATTCCAAATAGAAAATAGAAAAAAGAAGAAAAACGAGAAAAAATGGATTTCAATTAGTTTTTGTTTATTAAAAACAAGAAATAAATAAATTCCATGTTGAAAATTGAAAAAAGTGAAATAAACTACCAAGAAAATGAATTTTAGTTAGTTTTTGTTTAATTAAAAACAAAAAATAAATAAATTCCAAATAGAAAATAGAAAAAAGAAGAAAAACGAGAAAAAATGGATTTCAATTAGTTTTTGTTTATTAAAAACAAGAAATAAATAAATTCCATGTTGAAAATTGAAAAAAGTGAAATAAACTACCAAGAAAATGAATTTTAGTTAGTTTTTGTTTAATTAAAAACAAAAAATAAATAAATTCCAAATATAAAATAAAGAATAAAAACGAGAAAAAATGGATTTCAATTAGTTTTTGTTTATTAAAACAAGAAATAAATAAATTTCAAGTAGAAAATAGAAAAAAACGAAATAAACAACCAAAAAAATTAATTTTAATTCTCTTTTTGTATTAAAAAAATCAAAAATAAATAAATTCCGAGCAGAAAATAGAAAAAAAGCAAAAAAAAATAGATTTTAATTATTTTTTGTCTATTAGAAACAAAATAAAGAAATTTCGAGTAGAAAATAGAAGAAAAAGGAAATTAGCTACAAAAAATGTATTTTAATTACTTTTCGTTCAATAAAAACAAATAATAAATAAATTCCAATTAGAAAATAAATAAAAAGAAATAAAATATCAAAAAATGAAGTTTAATTACTTCTCGTTCATTAAAAAACGAAATAAATAAATTGAAAGTAGAAAAAAACGAAATAAATTACCAAAGAAAATGGATATTAATTCATTTTTGTCTATTAAAAACAAAATCGAAGCAAGCATTGCGGCAATGAACTGCTTTCAGTAATATGGAATGAGGAAATTATCAACCAGGAAAGTTGTTGTGAGAAGAAGAAAAAAATCAAAAAACCGTTAATCATGTAATCACACACGTGTTTCAGAAATTAAATCAATATAATAAATAATAATCGATCCAAATAATATCATAAATATCGAATTTTTCAAACTATAGAAAAGAGAAAATAAATGAAGAATTATAGGAAATTATTATCGGATAAAACCAACGGCAATGTAAACAAAGGTGCATCTCCTTTGTTCAAGAGGCAACGAGTTGATTAGAAGACCAATGCACTTTCACTTCAGAAACCACAGTCTCGATTCATAGTAAAATACATTTAAACCTTCTCCATGAGAGTTTATTCTATATTTCTCAACATCGACCAAGTTTTCTCATTTCTCTCCACTACATTTAATCTCAATTATACTTTCATGAACAATAATTTTTCTACATTTCCGAAAAAATTAATTTTTTTTTTATTTTAGAAAATCAAAAATTCTTTCCGAAATTCTCTCGAAAATTCTTGACAATTCCTTGACTATTCTTTGATAAAAAAAATGAATTATTGAAAATGAAAATATATCTGGGTGGAAATTGTCTCTAGTGACTTTTTTTTGCAAAAAGGATGGGGGCGACTGTATTTACTCACATTCTATAAGCGTTCAGCGTTTTTGACATTTCTGTTCTACCCATCGATAATGTTGAGTACACAGCAAAACCTACCTAATTTTTCGTTAAAAAAATTTCAACCCTTTTTTCTCAAACAACAATATCTCCCTCTCTCTTTTTCTCTTTTTCTCACTGCATCACGACTTGTGAATATTTATAATATTATCACTAGATTCAGTCGACGAATGAATGAAATTCGTTTTTGGAAATAGACAAAAATTCATCTATTCACGTAGAAAAATAGAGAAAATTTCGTGTAAACTGTAAAATGTACATAATAACGAGGAGGGGGGAAGAGGATTGCTCGGCAATATCACGTTTTACACTGAAACTGATGCGAATGTATTTGGCTTCTTACCCTGCAATAGAGGGTTGAAAATAAAGCGCGCTTGCGCGATTTCTCGCATTTAAGAGCATGGTTACACTTTTTTTTATGTGTGTGTATGTGTTCAATTTATTTTTTTTTCCTTCACCGTCTTTTTAACTCTCTTTTCTTCTGTTGAAAAAGCACAGGTCCAGGTGAATAAAAGTAGACCTTCTATGAAAATTTCAAAAGACTTTCCTCAAAAAAAGTAGGCCACTAGAGTCAAAAAGTAATTTGATCATTTCTGAATGAGAGTTCACATCTTCTCAACTGGCGAATTCTTTTGATCTCTACCTGGCTTTGAAATCTTGATAATTGCGAATTTCCCCCATTTTCATCCTCGACAGGAGGAACAAAAATTGAAATTCAATTTCAAGAGTTTGGAAATATATTTTTTTGAACTAAGTATGTAGAGAAAATAAAAACGCACTTCGTCTTTTTTCACAAGGCGTAAAATTTGATGAATCAGATAATCGTCGAATATCCTCTTATCTGAAAATGAATAATGTAATTCGCCTAAAATTATGTAAATTGAGATTGGAAAAATAAAAGTGATGTTCCGGTGGATAAAAAAAGAGAAGATTCATTCCTCGATGACGTAAAAATCAAAGCGCATTTTGTATGCTAATTACCGGCTTTTCGATCAAAGGGGAATTAACCCGCGTGTGTTGTAATTTGCGACCCAGTTTTAATCTTCCTAAGGTTCCCAAGTGATCAATTTCTTCGAGAAATCCCTTTTTTACGAGAAATTAACTTTTTCCGTAAACACTCCTAAAACAAAAAATTCCACTTTGTAAATATAAAATAACAAAAACAAAATAAACATTTTCAGGGTGGTCACAAGTTTCAATTTATTAATTTCCCTGACAATTTACTGACATTAAAATTATTTTCCCTGACAAAATTCTTTTTACATGAAAATATGTATGTTTTACGGAAAATGAGTAAAATTTATGAATTTTAATAATTTCTAAAAATTACAATTATAACCCTTTCTGAATTCAATTATTTTCTACAATTTTCAACTCCGAATCAATTAATTTAAATAATTTTTCAAACGTTCTTCTAGAATTCAATTATTTAAATATAAAAACTCAATTTTTTATAATAATTGTAACTTTCCATGGATTTTTCTTAAGTTGTTTTAAAATAATTTTTGTTTTTCAATTTTGAAAAATTTCCAAACAATTAAAATTTGGTAAAAACTTTTAAAAATAATTGAATTCTTGAAAAATATAAATAAAAATGATCAAATTTTTGAAGAATTTTAATAAGTCTAAAAAGTAAATTTTCATACATTTTTATTTACATTGTTCAAAGATAATTGAATCTTAAAAAATTATTATAAAACAATTCTAATAATCAGTTTTTAAAAATATTTTAATGTAATTTTTCGAAAATAATTTAATTTCTGAAAAGAATTTTTGTATAATTTAAAAAAACCAATTAATTTCTTTGATGAATTTTAATTAAAAATTTTGAACATGATTGATTTCTCCAAAATGTTAGTATTTTTGTATGTATTTGAATTTTTGGAAATATGTCATTGAAAATACTGAAAATATTGAATTTTAACAAATTAGAAGCAAATTTTCATTATTTTTCATTTTTAAATTTACCTTTAAAGATTTTTCATTAAAATTTTTGATATTTCAATTATTTTCAAAATTTGCAATTAAAATTCTTCAAAAATTGATTTTTAAAAATTGTAAATAAATACTTGAAATATATTAATTATTTTCAATTAAATTTTACAAATTTCAACTATACAAAAAGGTTTTTATTGTAGAAAGGATTTGAAAAATATAATTATCTTGAAAAATGATTCAAAAATTTGTTTTGAAAGATTTGTTTATAGTTATTTTTTGCATTATAAAAATCAAAATAAGTTGCACTTTTTTTTCTACTAAAAATTGTTGTATTTTGTTGCAATATTTGAAAAAAGTCGAAAAAGTCGCAATTTTTGAAAATAAGTCGAAAAAAGCCTCAATTTTCTTAATTTCCCTGTCAAAAAAATTTTGTTCTGACATTTCCCTGACTTTACTGACAAAAAATTTGTTTCCCTGACTTTACTGACAAAAATTTTGTTTCCTTGACATTTTCCTAACTTTACATACATGTGGCCACCCTGATTTTCAATTAAAAATAATAGACAAAAAAAATTTCCAGTCATGATAGTGAAGAAGTGTCATTTCTGAAAATAATTTCAAAACTCTTGAAAATTAATATTCCATAAACTATACAAGACATTTTTTACGATCGTAATTAAAACTTACGTAATTCGTATAAAATCTGACTGATATTTACAAGAAAAAATAAAAATAGGTATACAATAATGAAAAAACTCGAAAATCTTTCATGCACTTTCGAAAAACAGTCGAGTTTCTTGCAAGAAAATCGACAGTAAATTGCAAATAAAAAAGTTTCAATCATAATCTGTCGAATTGTAATAAATCGAGAGAAAACAATACATAAGGATATTACCTAACTTATCATTATCGGAACCAGGCGCACGCGTATTCTCAATAATAAACACAATATTATTAAACAATCCTAACGTTAAAATTCAAGAAAAAAATTGCCAAAGAAAGAATTTTTAATATAAAATATAAAAAAATAGAAAAATAATAACACAAAGGAAAAGTAGACATAAATTTGAAATATCGCCAAATAGACTTCAATTTTTCGAAAGTAGTAGTAGTAACACTATAATATAAAGAAATAAAAGTCCAATTTGTCTGAAATATACAACTTTAAAGAAAAATTCTAAAGCAGGAATGGTCATGGTCACTGGTTCTTCGTCACGGTATCACGACGACTCATGGAAAGGAATTAAAATATATTTAAACATCCGGTTTCGATTGATCCCAAAGGTGTGGTAATTGAAATCAAAAAACTTTTTAAATAATAACATTTGATCAGCAAAAAAAATCCTCGAGGATCAATAAAATATTTCAACTATATAGCGAATGATGACTCACTCTAAAGATCGGTCCATGCAGGACTCCCGTCAAACACCTTCAAAGCAGCATTACACTTTCTGCAAACAAAAAAAAATAGAAAAATAAACTCCACTTCTTCTTAATATATCCACTGTCTTTAATAGTGAATTATATTTTTAAAAAAGAAATCAATCATGCAATTTTGACAGTTAACTCACACCCTTTCGACAAATTTAGATTGTGCACGTAATTATCAAAAAAATGGAAATAAAAACAAATTGCAATTGACTGAGGGGAAAATTCTTTCTTGTTGAGAGATGAATTTTTTTTTTAATGTAAAAATTTAGTGAAAATCCCTTTATGACAAGATTGCTGACAGAATAAAATGGCGAGATTAGTGGTGTGTGGATAGTTGAGGAACGACAACAATCACATATTTTCTCACTTTTCCGCATTAAAAAAACATTGTGAAAATACTTTACCTTTTGTATTTCACTTAAAGTTATCATTAAATAATGTTTATAAAATTTAAATATTGTTTAAAACACTGAAATTTGTACGAAACACGACAGACAAAACCGATCAGCCGTTCACGCACACAAACACACGGTATATATCGAACCTTCGAGATTGTGTTTCGATTATATCGAGAGAGTTCGTTTTAAAAAACGGCGGCAAAAGTCAAAAAGGAAAAAAATTTTTGAAATTATTTTTTTCAGAAATTTTTAATTTCTAATAGTAAAATTTAAAGAATAAATTTTATGATACTATATTTGCAAAAAAAAATTTGTTCTATTTTCCATAATTTTGAGTAAGTAAATTTTTTTTTAATTTTAAAAGATAAAATTTTTGTTTTATAAATTTTATAAAATTTACCAAAAATTGAACACTATAGTGTTCAATTTTTGGTAAAAAAATATTTGAAAATAATTAAATTCTTTTTAGAAATTCAATTAAAATTCTATTGTAAAATTTAAAATTCTTAAAAAATAGTATTTTATTCAAATTTTCTAAAATAATAAAATTTTTTCTTGAAATTTAATATTAAAATTGTATAGAAAATAATTGAATTATTTTGAAGAATTTTACTAAAATTTAAAAAAAACAATTGAAATTTTCGAAAAATTTTATTAAAATTGTAAGTATTAAAAATAACTCTTCCCAAGAATTTTATTAAAATTTTTAAAAAATAATTGAATTCTTTCTACAAATTCAATTAAAGTTGTATTGAAAACAAATTAATTTTTAAAAATTTTGAATTCTATTCAAATTTTTTTTTGAAGTAATTAAATTTTTTCCAGAAATTTTATGAAAATAATTTAATTCGTGCGAAGAATTTTATTGACATTTTTGAAAATAATTAAATTCTTGCAAAGAATTTTATTAACATTATATTGGAAATATTTGAAGTTCTGCTACAAATTTTTTTATTTATGAAAGTAATTGAATTTTTAGGAAGCATTTTATAAAAATTTGTTAAAATAAAATAATTAATAAGTGAACATTTTTTTAAATTTCGAATCTCAAATGTTTAAAAAATGAATAATTGAATTTTTAGGAAGCATTTTATAAAAATTTGTTAAAAAAAATAATAAATAAGTGAACATTTTTTTAAATTTCGAATCTCAAATGTTTAAAAAATGAAAATTGATATTTGAAAATAAAAAAAATTTGTATTTTACATACAAATAAATAAATAATACAAATTGAATACAGCGAATCGTGCGCGTGAAATTTGCCTTTTTTTGAAAAAACTACAAACTACAAGGCAACTAAAAAGAAAAAATCACAAATATATAATGTGATAAACCATATTTATTGAATTATCATTAGAATAGTAAATAGATACAATAGAGAACGCTTTTAGCAGGCCACCTTTTCAAAAATAATATTCAAAATCTAATAATATTCGAAGAAAAGGGATATTTTTGTCTAGAGTAAGAAAGTGGAAATAGTAGGGCGCAGAGGAGATTGCAGGGAGAAAAAACATTTTATCATTTGAAAATTAAGAATTCACAAGGGAATAAAGATAAAAACATAATTAAAAATATCACCGTACAAGAGGCTTGCTAAAATTGGATATAGTTAAAATTTTTTTTTTTTTTGCTTTGTTTTGAATATTGTATATATGCGTAAACACCAATTTTTGGTTTTACGATATAAGAAAAAATCTACATTAACTGTCAGCTTATTGTGATTCTTTGTATCCTATTAAAAATGATCATGGTCGTCATAATAGCGATCTGCTTTTTTTGTGGCGGATTATTGATAAATTTCCTTTTGTTTTTTTAAATGTTATCGATGTCTAAATCTTCTCCCCCGTCGGAGTCATTGTTCTGAACGGGCGGTTTTGCGGTTTGCTGTTGTTGCTGTTTCAGAGGCTGTTTCGCTCGATCGTCATACTCAATCTAAAATTAAGCAGATGGAAAAATATTTAATTTAATTTAATAAGAGCAAAGAGAGAATTTAAGAGAAAGAGAATCTAAATTAAGAAAATTATTTTGATATCTCGATAATATTACCTCAAGATCATCGTCTTCTTCTTCTGATTCGGATTCTTCTTCCTCGGCTTCTTTCAACCAAGTTATAAATGGCGCAGCTTTATCATGAATTTCCTGAGACAAGTCCTTTGAAACGTTCTTCTTGCTGACCTTACTCTCCCACTCCAAGAAAGCTTTTTCCTCCAAGATATCAGAATCATAAAATAGCTGTGAAAAAAGGGAAACATTATTTAGACAAATGCAAAATAATTTTCTAACTAAAGACAAATTTAATTTTAATTTTAATTAGAAATTAAATGGAAAGAAATTAAAAAAGGAAGGAAATTTCAGGCTTTGTCCTCGATAATTAATTTTAAGAAAATAGCAAAAAGTAGCTTTAAGAATGAAAAAAATAGTAAAAAAGTAGCTGTCGAAAAATTAAACTTGATGACTAATTTTTTCATAATTTCTAAACTAAATTACATTCAAAAATAAAATAACTTTTTAAAATAAATATTTATCTATTTATTTTTCCACAGATATTAAAATATTTTAAATGATTTCAATGTAAAGCCTTTTTGAAATTTAATTATTTCTAAAAATTGCAACTCTAATTCTTCCAAAAGTCAATTATTTTTTAGAATTTTTGAATAAAATTATTCAAAGTAAAAATTTTAATTTTATAATAATTAAAAATTTCTAAGAATTTAATACAAAAAAATCTTTTAAAGTTTAATTATTTATAAAAATTCGCACTATAACACTTCTAATATTGAATTATTATCTAAAATTTTAATTGAAATTTAATGTTAAATCAATTCTTGTTAGAAAGTTCTCCGAAAATTTAATTATTTAAATACAAAAATAAATAATTTATTAAATAGTTAAATATTTCTTACAATTGAATTGTTATAAAGAATTTTATCACAATTTTTAAAAGTAAGTGAATTTTTTTGAAGAAATTTTATAAAATTGTTAAGAATAATTGCAATTTTTCAAAAAATCAGTTTAAAATTGTATTGAAAATAATTAAAATCCTGCACTGAGTTTTATTATTTAAGAAAATAATTGAATTTTTGCGAAGAATTTACTAAAATTGAAAAAAAAATAAAATTCTGCCGAGGAAATGAATTGTAATTGTATTGAAAATAATTCAATTCTTGTATAAAATCTTAATAAAATTTATTAGAAATAATTGAATTCCTGCAAAGAATTATATTATTTAAGAAAATAATTTAATTTTTTTTGAGAAATTTTATTAATATTGTATTGAAAGTAATTGAAATCCTGCGATAAGTTTTATAATTTAAAAAAATAATTGAATTTTTGAGAAGAATTTTATTATTTATGATAATAATTTAATTTTTTAGAAGAATTTTATTATTTATGAAAATAATTGAATTTTTGTGAAGAATTTTAGTTACATTTTTTTTAAATAATTGAATTTCCTTGAAAAATTTTATTATTAGTGAAAATAGTTGAATTCTTACAAAAAAATTTATTTCATTTTATTTTATTTATTGAAATCATTTTAATTGTTTCGAAGAAAATTAAAATTCTTTTGGGGAATGTATAGTTAAAATTTTGTATAAAAAATTGAATTCTTCTAAAGAATTATATATAAAACTTTTTGAAAATAATTAAATTCTTGCAAGAAATTTAATTAAAAATGTTTTAAAAATAATTACTATATTCTAGTGAACAAATTATATTACAATTTTTCTTAAGTAATTGAATTCTTTCGAAGAATTTTAATAAACTTTTTCAGAATATTTGCATTTTTCGAGGAATTTATTTAAAAGTCTATTAAAATAATTAAAATCCTGCGATGAGTTTTATTATTTATGAAAATAATTGAATTATTGCAACAAATTTTATTAAAATTTTTAAAAATAATTAAATTCATGAGAAGAGTTTTATTGAATTCTTACAGAGAACTTTATTACATTTTTTTTAATTAATTAATTCTGGCGAAGAATTATAAAAAAAACTTTTCAAATAATTGATTATTATTTAAAATTTTATGAAAATTGTTTTTTAAATAATTGGATTTGTATGAAAAGTTTGTTATTTATAAAAATATTTGAATGTTTGCAAAAAATTTTATAATCAATTTTTTAAAATTCTTTTGGGAGATTTTTTTTTATTAAAATAGTAGAATTTCGTAAATTTTTTGAAAATAATTGAATCGTTTGAATGAATTTTATTAAAAATTTGTTGAATTTTTCCTAATAATTTTACTACAATTTTTCAAAATAATTTTTTATTTCAACTATTAGTGAATTTAAAGTATGGCAAAGTTTCAAACATAGAAAAAAGTATCTTTTAGTGTCACGAAGCTATAAAAAAGTATCCAAATAATAGCAAATTGTAAATAAAGTAGTAAAATTTGTTTAATTTCTGCTTCTTTCCTCATCACTAAAGCAGATGAGTTCAAAGCCTGAAATTTGTAAGAAAATTAAAAAAGAAAGGAAATTTGGAATAAAATTAGAAATAATAAGAAATTCATTATAAATAATTAGAAAAAATGATTGCGACATACTTTGAAAATTCCAGGCACCTTCGGCATCAATACATCCTTATGTAAAGCAATGATCTGCTCGATTCCTCGGAGAAGATATTTTTGTGCCTTACTATCACCGTGAGTGAAGCGAAGCAATAGCAAGCGATGTTTTTTGATTTGAGCAGCAATACCCTGATCGAAAAGCAATTCTGCAAGTACCAATGGTGCTTTGGTCTTGATCTCAAGACGTTCGGCCTCAGAAACAAGTTCCTTTGGATTATCCAATTGACCCGCGTCACGACGACATTTCACCAATTTATAAAATATATCCATACGTTCCTTTTCAGTCTTTTCGAGATCGTCACTGATGGTCATTCCCTTTGCGCCATCTGTCAAATCCTGTAGACGCGCACGAACAGCTTCCTCGGAAACGTCCACGGCCCAATTTGAATCGTCGTCATCTTCATTTGCCATTTTTACTGGCGCCTCTACAACAATGTCCGTTGTACTTGTTTCATTATCAGGTGATCCTGAACGATCGCCGTTCACGTCACCATTCTTCTTTGAACGCTTGCCTGAAATTTCATTTCTTTTATTAAAATAGATAATCAAAATATATTTATAATTCACAATTAGTATATTCATTAGCGAAAAATAGTCGTTTCTTTTATTCTTTGCTGTCACAAAAAAATTAATTTTATAACCCTTCACTGATTCTTAATTATTCAAATATTCAATAATTTCGTTCAATAAATATTTAAATACTAATAGAAACAAATTTCATTCAATTTGAACGTTCGAAACATTAGGAAAGTCCTAATTTTGCTTCTTTATTTACATTCCTTTCGCCTAGTACGGAAATGGAATATTTTTTACTTTTATAAATTGTCCGAATTATCCATAATTCTCCCTTCACTTAAGGGCATTTGAACCATGATGACGTCACAGATTTAAAACTAATGCTTTGCACAAACTGTGACGTCATCAAGGTTCAAATCCCCTTAACCCTCCATTTGACCTAATTATCATTTTCCGACAATTTTCATTAAAAGTAAACTATTTCCGTATTGATCATCGGTTGAATAGCAAAACTTTTTTTTATTGCTTCTTATGAGTTTTATAGTTCACTGTATTTCAGTCTCTATTTTTGTCTCGTAAATATTTTTTCAGTTTTAATTTGTCGTAATTTTTAACAAATCTTTGTTCCACGAATTTTGAACGCTCAAATGAACTATTTTTTTGTGAAATATATACTTTCATAAATTTCTGATTGGGATAAAAATTTAAAAACTTCAAAATGAATTTTTTTATAGTGATACAAAATTATTGCAATAACAAATTAAATTGAAGAAGAAATAAATAAATTTCGTTCATTTGAACGTTCAGAGTTCAGAAATTGAGGAAACATAAATTTTTTCATGTCGCTAAAGTTCGAAAATTTATTTCTTCTTCAAATTAAAATTTTATTTTGCAATAATATTGCGTCACGTATTAAAAAAGTAAATTGTAGATAGATTCTAAATTTTTAATGTTGTGCTTGCTTTCTATAACAATTAGTAATTTTTGAAAATAAATTTTCAAAAATAGATTGTCAAAAATTTTCATTCATCTGAAAGTTCAGAATTTGTGAATCATTTTTCTTCAAATGTTTCTTCCATAGTTGTTATTAATTATTATTTGACTCTTCAGTTTTTATTATCTCTAATAATACACATTCGAATTATGAAACGAACAATAAAGCTGAAAGATAAATAAAGAAAAAAAAGTATAACATGACAAATGTTAATTGGAAAATCGAGAACATGTTAAAAAACTAGTAATAAAATTTAAAAAAAATGAAGTTACGAACAATGAATATTTACAGTTATGGAGAATTATTTAACTAAAAAAACTGTGTATACAAAAATTTACATAACAAATGGAAAATTTTAATTTTATACGGCACAGTAATAATAGGAATTTTATTTCATATTTTAATTTTGATTATTAAACTTTTTAATTTTGTAAACTAAGCAATCAAATGGAAAATAGTTTTAAAAAAAACATCTTTCACTCAAACAAAATTTGAATAATTGAAGATAAAACAGTGATTATCAGTCTATCTATTTCGGTTTTTAAATAACAACTTTTTTAATAATTCGAAAACTACTTTCCTCGTCAGTAGTTTTTTTTTAAATTTAATTCTGATCAAGAGTTTACTCGTGAAGTTGGTGTTGTTTACAATTAAATTTTTCAAACAACTTTATTTTCCTAAAGTCGTATGTCCTAAACGTTCGAATGAATGAATATTTCTTTTCTATTTAAATATTTTTAAAAATTAGTAGAACAAAAATAAAAATTAAAATAAATTGGAAATTACAAAGAAATCAATGTTCCACATAAATAAAAAAAATATTTTCTAACAAAATTCAAGTTTTAACGAAACATAAAAATATTTCAAACCCTTTGAAATTTAATAATTTATAAGAATTACTACTGAAACTTCTCCAAAATTGTTTTCAAGATTTCAATTCAATTATTTTCTAGAATTTACAACTAAAATTCTTCTCTAATTTAATTTTTAATAATTTTGGAAGAAAGTTCCTTAAGAATATAATTATTTAAAGAAATTTAAAGGAATATTAAAAGGAAAAAAATTTACCAAAAATATTTCTTAAATCCACTTGTTTGCAATTCAATTTCATGAAATTTCAATATAATTTGAAACTTTTTCAATTAAATATTCAAAAATTCGACTAATTTAAAAAAATCTGAATAACAATGTTTCAGAAAACTCACTTTTTAAAATTTTTTTTTCATTTCTTGCTCTATATGGAAATAAAAAATTAATTTCTAGAAAATTCATATCATATAGCAAAAAATTGGATTCTTTTAAAATATTTTATCAAAACTTTTGAGAATAATTGGCTTCTTTTGAAAAAATTTATTTAAAATTTTTAAAAATAGTTGAATTTTTTCGATGTATTTAATTAAAATTGTATTGAAAATAATTCAATTCTTATAAAGAATTTTATTAAAATGTATTAAAAATAATTGAAATCTTTCGATAAATATTTTAATTTTGAATCTAAAATTATTTAAAAATTGATGATCCACAAGTTGTGAACGTTCAAATGAATGTAATATTTTTTATTACAAACATTTACATAAATTACTATTTGCAGTGGAAATTAAAAAACTTAAATTTTATGTTTAGAAACTTTACAATTAATTTTTTTTTATAGGAACGTAAAATTGTAATAAAAATTTATTTTGAACAAGAAGTGAATAAATGTCGTTCATTTGAACGTTTAGAACTTTAGAAACATATATATTTGAAAATCTGTGTCAACTTTGTTCTAAAAAAACTCAAATTTTAACGAAATATAAAAAAAAGAAACTTTTTACGTTTCTGTGAATAGAGAATGATTTTTCAAAAAAGTTAACGTTTTATTTAAAAGCTTGAATAGATTGATAGTTTTACCAATTAACACAGGACATCTACCAAAAAGATAAAAATTCGTTCTATTAAAAATCGAATTTTTACAACTACAAAAAAATCAGCATTACGAAAATTAAATTTTAAGAATAAAAAGTGCAAAAAGGTTTCTCTTTTTTTCGTCTCACCTCGCTTGCCCTCGGTGAGGGAACTGCCTTGAGCTGCAGGATTCAAACTAGGAGGATTTTTCAGGATATAAGTGTTGAGCTTGTGATTGGTCTCGAGCAGACCATGATGACCGCACGCTTTACAGCCCTGCGAGATGGTGCCTTTCTTTGCGCTGACCAAGAGTTCAGTCTCAGGATTATCACAGGAAGGACATAAAACGTACTTCCGAATAAAGCCATCGAGTAGATCTTGCAATTTGGTCGCGTCATGCGAACCATTAACGATAAATCTTTCATTCTTGAAATCAAATTGAGTTTGTGCACCGAGTTCACATCCAAAATACTTGGTCGGATAAGTGGCCGGTCTACCAATGGCTTTCGCCACTTCAACCATATTAACAATGACAGTTTTTATGCCATTTCCCTTGCCCTCAACTTTGGCTTGAATTCTGGGCATTTTATAGCGATAGAACGCATCGCTGACGTTGCGATTAACGTTAAGGCTCCCCATGATGATGATGTTGTTATTGATTGTTTTCGCCTCTTAAAATTCCGCAAACACGTCAATTTGTTGAACGTTTTATATTGACGATACGCCGTTGTCGAGTGTGTTATTTTTATCTCTTTTTTTTTGTAAAAGAAGAAAAACGAAAATTAAACAAAAAAAATTCTTTTTTTCCAGCTAGGAGTCAATTTTGCGAGGATTGCCACTTTTCCCTTTTTGATCTTCGTCTTTTTTTTTTTTTTGGTATTATTTCTATATTTTTTTTCCTCTCAAGTGGGCAATGTCTTCGTCCTCGGTCTCCTAGATCTCTTTGCCACGATTCCCAGCGACAGTTTGAATACCGATCTGTGACCTTGCTGCGAAATGGCTACCAAATGGTAGCTCGAAACGTGTCGCGTCAGGTTGCTTTTCTTTTCTTGCGATTCGGAACACCGCTCTACCCAGTGTCGACAGTCACGTTTCTCTGAACGGTTGCAGCTTTCGATGCCTGTTACTGAACAGAAAATTTGGAATTTAGAAATTTGAATAAATCTAATATCAAATTACAGGGTTGCCATAAAAATTTAATTTTGTTTTTCCCTGACTTTTCCCTAATTTCTAGACAAAATTTTGACTTTTTCTCTGACCCTGAAGAATATTATGATTCAATCCAAAAATTTTTAGATACTTAAAAAAATGTTACTTTTGTTTTTCCCTGACTTTTCCCTGATTTCCAGACAAAATTTTGACTTTTTCTCTGACCCTGAAGTATTCTTCAGGGTCAGAGAAAAAGTGATTTATCTGATTAACTTCAAAAATTATTAGATACTCAAAAAAATGTTCTATTACATTTATTTAGGAATTTCATTAATTGCAAAATTATTCAAAAACATGAATAACTTCTTTTTTAAAAAATATTTAATCATTATTATTTTTTTATAGAAATTAAGATTTTCAAATTCAAACCTGAAATTCAATAACTTATAATAAATTTAAGATGACAGAGTGATAAAATCATTATTTTATATCATAAGAATATTGTAACTATAAATTCCAATTTTCAAAAATTTAATTTGAACCCGTTTTCGAAATTCAATTATTTCTTTTAATACTCAATTTTAATTAAAAAATTTAACTGAAATTCATTTTTAAATTAATTTTTATTAGAAAATTTTTGCAGAATTAAATTATTTTAACTACAAAAATAAATAATTTATTAAATAATTAAATATTTCTTAAAATTGAATTTATATGAAAAATTTTATCAAAATTTTTAAAAATAATTAAATTCTTTCAGCGAATTTAAAAAAAAATGTTAAGAATAAATGCAATTTTCTATAATTTTATGTAAAAATTGTATAAAAAATAATTGAAATTCTGCGATAAGTTTTGTTATTTATGAAAATAATTGAATTCTTGCAAGGAATTTTATTAAAAAAATTTTTAAAGAATTGAATTCCTGAAAAAAATTTTATTTTTGAAAAAAATTGAATTCTTGGCAAGAATTTTCATTAGCCCTAGGAACTTATTTTTGAATAAATAAATAAATAAATAAAATTTTATTAAAATTTCTTAAATAATTGAATTGCTTCGAAGAATTTTATTGTTTTACAAAAATAAATAAATTGTTTCAAAGATTTTTACAAACATTTTTGACAATATTTGTATTCTTAGGAAGAATGTTATATTTTACGAAAATAATTTCATTCTATGATTAATTTTATTATTATTTTTCAAATTTATAAAGCATTTTATCAAAATTTTTTTAAATAATAGAATTCACGAGAAAAATTTTATTATTTATGAAAATAATTAAATTCCTGAGAAGAATTTTATTCAAAATTTTTTAAATAATTGAATTTCCATAAAAAATGTATTATTTGTGAAAATAATTGAATTCTTAAGAAGAATTGTATTGAAAATAATTGAATTGTATAGGAAAATTTTATTAAAATTGCAATTTTATTAACTAAATCTTGTAAAGAATTTTGTCAAATATTTTTTAAATAATAGAATTTTTAAAAGAATTTTATTTAAATTTTTCAAAATAATAAATTGAATTTCTCATAAATATTTTTTTCAATTCTCTGAATATATTTTAATTCTTTCGAGAAACTTCATTAAAAAATTAAAAATAATTGAATTGATCCGAAGAAATTCATAAAAAATTCGTAAGTAATTGAATTTCCGTAAAATTTCTATTAAAATTTGGTTTAAATAATAGAATTCTTTTGGAAAATTTTATTAAAATAGTAGATATTAAAAATAATTTAAATGTTGAAAATTTTTGAAAATAATTGAAATTTTGTCAGGAATTTTATTAAATTTTTTGAAAATAATTGAATTTTGGAGAAGAATTTTATTATTTGAAAAGATAATTGAAATATTGACGAAATTTTTTTTTATATTTTTGAATGAATTGAAGTTATGGAAAGAAGTTTATCACTTTTGAAAATAATTGAATTTCTGTAATCAATTGTTTTTAAAATTTCTACTTAAATTAATTAAAAATTGATATTTTCTAAAATTTTAAATTGAAACCTTTGAAGTTCATCTATTTATGAAGATTGTAAACGCAAAACTTTTGAAATCCAAATAATTTTGAAATTTTTAAGTAAAATTATTCATTAAATAATTTATAAGTAATAATTTTATGATAGTTCTTCAAGAATTAAGTTATTTAAAAAGAAAGTATTGTTAGAAATTGAAAAAATTACAGTTTTTGTATTAGAATTCTTGTCAATTTAATAAATTATGAGACAAACAAAAAAGACACAAAAATTCAGAATTTTCTCATAATTTTTAAAATTTAATTTTTTCCAGTACTTTTAATAAAAATACCTAACTTTTCCCTGATTTCCCTGACTAATTCTAATTTCCCTGACTTTTCCTTGAATTCCCTGACCTGTAGCAAACCCTGAATTAAAAATAAGAAATTAATGAATTTGAAGAATTTAATTGTAAGAATTTGAGATGAAAATTGAAAGTGTAAGAGTGAGATTTTGTACCTTGAAAATTTTGTGGTCCTGTGTTTAGGCAGGACCAAATTTAAAAATCGTTGGGTGGTATCTTGGTGCAGGGTTTGCCTCGATCTGGTGGGCAGAGGGGGATTGTCTTCAATGATCATACACGCTGCTTGTCCGTTGCTTGTGCCTATAAGAAAATGTGAATCCCACGACGTAGTCGGCAATTCACTACTTAATTGTATTAAACGGTTATTCCAAGTGACAGGGATGATGCTGCCGTCTTTGAGACACCGGGACAATGTCCTGTTACCGCCGCCTTTGCTGCACACCGATCCTTTCCTTCTGGATAATATCCTGGATGTTTCTGAAATCAAAAAAATAAACGTCACTCATCCAATATTTCACCATTTTTCTAAAAACCGCAAAATATCACTTTTTCACATTTTTCTCTTATTTTCTACTTTTCTTCTTTGTTTTGTTTTTTTACTTTTCTTTCGTTATTTGCTTTTTTCTTTTCTATTTTTCACTTTTTTTTGTTATTTATTTTTTACTTTTCGTTTGTTATTTAGTTTTTACTTTTTTTTTAAATTTTACTTCTAAGAAAGAAGTAATTAGTAAATAAAAGAAAAGTAAAAAATAAATAACAAAAAAAAAGTGAAAAATAGAAGAGAAAGAAGTAAAAACTAAATGATTTAATTCTTTTTTAATTTGTTCCGTTTTGTTCATCATTACCTGTACTTTGTCCATTTACATTAAATCAACATTTGCACCAAAAAGTATATATTTTTTTTTGCTCGTTTGCCAAAGTGGTCTGATAAAAGTATTCGCGGATTGAATCATCAGTTAAATGTTCTTATGATATTTTCAACTTATTCATTAGCATTCTGAAAGTTTGCTTCAGCCTGAACCGGAACATTAGAATATTTCAATGTGATAAATCATCTATTGTAATAGTATTTTTTCAAGTGTCTTCTTCTCAGTTTAACGATCATTTAAATACTTTTCGGGCGAAACAGACAATCTCAGGGTCATGATAGCAAAAGATTGCTTAAAATGTGATTTTACACAAAAGAATTTTTTCCTTAATCAAAAAAAAAAATGACGTTTTTCAAATTTGCGTTTTCAAAGACATTTGAATATCAATTTGACAAAACAGAATCAATATAGTCTGAATTGAGCTGGTAATAAAATTTACCAACACCTCAATTATTTTTTTTCTTTTTTTTGGGTAAATTCAGACTGCGTACTCGATAATTTATTTTAAAAATTTTAAAAATTTTTAGAGGAATTTTTTAAATGAATTTTAGTAGTTTTTTTTAGTAATTAAAATACTGCGAAGAGTTTTATTATTTATGAAAATAATTCAATTCTTGCAACGAATTTTATTACATTTTTTTTAAATAATTGAATTTTTTTGAAAAATTTTGAAAAGAAATTACAATTTTCTTAAATGTATATAAATTTTGTTTTAAATAAATTTGATTAAAATCATTAAAAATAATTGGTTTCTTTCGGACAATTTTATTTAAAAATAATTGAATTTCTCTGAAAACGTTTATTATTTATGAAATTAATTGAATTTTTTGCGAAGAATTTCATTATTTTGTGAAAATAATTGAATTCTTTTCAGAACTTTTATTAAAATATTAACTAATTGAATTTCTGCAAAGAATTTTATTATTTATAAAAATAATTGAATTCTTGTGATGAATTTTATTTTTTCTGACAATAATTAAATACTTTTGATGATTTTTATTAAAGTTTGTGAAAATAATTAAATTCTTTCATGAAAATCATTTAAAAAGAATTTTATTAAAATTTTTGAGAATAATTTTTTTATTTCAATTATTAGCGGATTTAAAGTGGAGCAAATTCTCAAAAAAAAAAAAAAAAGAAGTAGCTTTTAGAGTCATAAATCTAGAAAGAAGTATCCAAATAGTATCAAATCGCAAAAAAGTAGTAAATAGTAGGTTTTAGTAGACGAGTGCGAAGCCTGTAGAATAAAAGAAATGTAAACAAACCAGTGGAAATTTTTTCAAGACTAGAAAAGTTTCGAAATAAATGCGAAATAAAATGAATTAAACGCTTATTTAAAAAGATTTAAATTAACATTTAAAAATCAGAATTTTGTTTCAAAATTGTCGAGCTATAAGCTCTGAAATAAGTACAAGATGTAATGACTCATTTTTAATTTACATCCTCTTGTATACATTATTTCGAAAGATTAATTGAATTTCAATATGCTACGCTGATCAGCTGTTTATAAATTCTCGTTTTTAATTTGCGCGCAAAGAATAATTTCGACACATGTTTAAAAAATGTAAATTTATCACTTTGGACACTTTTTTTCTACATTCAAAACAAAAATTTCGAGTTTTCAAAATTTTCAAATTTCAACCAAACAATTATTTTTGTTTTCAAATTCGTTTTCCTTTCTATTCCAATTTTCATTTTCGATTCTAGAAATTTCTGAGAATTGAATTATCAAACAGTTTAAATTTTTCCCAAATTTCACGTTCGGAGACGAAGTTTCCAGATTGAACACATATTGTCCTGAGTTGAACGAAAATTTGTCGAAAAACATTTTTTTTCCAAGTAAAGCAAAATTAATAAAATTAATTGAGGTAGAAGAAATCTCTTAGAAGTTTATATTGACATTATCCGAGCATATTCTGCTCTAGCAAAGCGTGTATAAAATCAGTTTTGAACCGTAAGTAAACCTAAAGTCGATAGTTTAATGAAACGGATCACCGGCATGTGATTAAATCCACCCACAATATAGAGAAAGAGAGACAGCACCACTGTACCTCTTTTTTCAGGAATCGAGGTGGAAGATACCATCATCCGGAGTAGTGTGGAATTCAAAAGGAGAATTAAAAATTGAAAAAAACACGTCAAAAATTACCTGCTCGTCGTAGACGCATAAGTTTTTAAAGTTGGCTGCTGACGGCCCGTTTCTTGTTTAAACTTTGATTATTTGAATAAAAAAAAAGAGTTTCCCAGAGCGGGGAATTTTTTTTTTTTTTTTTTGAGAGAGAGAAAAGAGAGATAAGAGAGACGTAGGAGAGACGTGTTTTAGAGAGAGCTTATGGCCGTACAATTGATGATGATGACTCGAAGCTCGAAACTGAGAGGAACAGGAAGAAAATTCTACTCTGGGGTACAGGTCCCGGATCGGATTGGAGTAGGCGTACACGCGTTTACGCCGGTCAGACGCGCAGGCTTGCTATACGTGAAAAGCAGCTTATTGATCGTTATGGTACTCCGGTTAGAAAACCGTCGACGTAAGCCCAACAACAAACGTTTCGACGTGGAAACCTCAGACAAGGTCAGAGTGAGAGAGATTTTCACCAGCTTTTTTTTCGTCAAGCAATGCGGAAATTTCAAGCGTTAGGATAGGTCAGGGTGACTGCTGCATTTCCGGGGCGCTACCTACGAAAAAAAAAGAAAAACAGAACAGAAAATTAATTATCACTTCAAGTCCAAGGCGAATTAAACCACGTATTATGTACTTATTTTTTTTCTCATACCCCCCTCTCTCCTCCTCTCCACCCTTTTGGTAATGCCGATAAAAATTCTTGACGATTCTACACACACAATCCATCGATTTTTCCCACCTGCTTCACAAGTCTAGAGTTTCAAACAAATTTACAAATACAAAGTTATTTATAATTTCTGAACTATTATGCGTATTCCATAACTCACGTTTCATATTCTATTATGTGTAAACGATGTCACGAGAAATTGTTAATAGAAAAGCAATTTCTGTTTTACGATTTATAACTTGTTTGATCAATAATTCAATCATTTGAATGTTTTCTAATCGGAGTTGTCACAAAAATTAAATTTTATTTTTCCCTGACTTTTCCCTGATTTCAAGATAAAATTTTCACTTTTTCCTAGACAATAAAGAATATTCTGATTAACCCTAAAAATAATTAGACAAAAAAAAGTTCTATTGGATTCATTTACGAATTTCTTTAATTGGAAAATTATTCAAAAACAACAACTTCAATTCATTTATTATTTTCCAGAATTTTGAACCAAAATTCTTCATTAAATCAATTATTTTTAAGGATTTTTTTAAAAAAGTTTTTAGAAAATTTTCAAATCCATTTGCTTACAATTAATTTTTACAATATTTCGGTTATTCGGAAATTTTTCAATAAACAATTTTTTACTTTTAGAAAATAAAAACTTCAAATATTAATTAAAAAAAAAATTCCATTACACTTTTTAAAAAAAAATTAATTTTACTAACAATTAATTAATTGTTAGTTAAAAATATGAAAAATTCAGATTTTCAAAGATTTTAATTTTAAACCTTTTCGAAATTCAATTATTTGACAAATTTATGCTATTATACTTTTAATATTTAATTATTATTTAAATTATTTTTTAAAACATTAATATAATTCTTTGAAGCAATTCAATTATATTCGAAAATTTAATTATTTTATGAAATATGTAATTCATAGCAGGAAATCTCATTATTTTCAATACAATTTAAATTAAATTCCTGGAAATAATTCAATTATTTTTAGAAAATAAAGTTCTGTGCAAAAATTCAATTATTCTCGAAAATTAAAAAAAAATTCTTCGCAAGCATTTAATTATTTTCTTAAATATGTAATTCATCGCAGGAAATCCCATTATTTTCAATACAATTTAAATTAAATTCCTGGAAACAATTCAATTATTTTTAAAAAATAAAATTCTGCGCAAAAATTCAATTATTTTCGAAAATTAAAAAAAATTCTTTGCAGGAACTTTAATTATTTTCTTAAATATGTAATTCATGGCGGAGAATTCCATTATTTTCAATACAATTTAAATTAAATTTCTGGAAACAATTCAATTATTTAAAAAAAATAAAATTCTGCGCAAAAATTCAATATTATTTTCATAAATAATACAATTCTTCGCAGGAATTTTCAATTATATTTAATAATTTGAATAAAATTATTCACTAGAATTCAATTATTTAAATAAATATTAAAAGTCTTCGTTAAAATTCAATTATATTCATAACAATTTTAATAAAATTCTTGTCAAGAATTCAATTTTTTTTAAAATAAAATTTGTAGAAAGTATTCAATTATATTGAAAAATTGTGATTGAATTCTTTAGACGAATTCAATTATTTTCAATACAATTTTAATTAAATTCTTGGGAAGAATTTTATTTTTCATCAAAACAATTAAATTAATTTCAAAAATATAATTTCTCCAAAGAATTCGATTTTATTATCTAAATTCTTAAATAAAATATATATTTTTAAATCAGTTTTTATTAGAAAATTCTACAAGAATTCAATTATTTAAATATAGAAATAAATAATTTTTTGAATAATTGAATGTTTTT